CACCTGGAGGCTTGCTAGAAAGGCCAAATGGCAGGCTGGTCCCAAACCTCCTGAATCAAATGTGCATTTAACAAACTGCTTGGGCAATTCATATGCACATTCAAATTGGTGAAGACACAGAGCATTCTTCACCGTCTTCTCTCATCCCTGCCACAGTGACTGAAGACATTCTAGATGGCATTTAACCTAAACCCCTGGCCTGATCTGAGATAGATGAGAAGTGAAGCGTGAAGGAATTAAAACTTCGTTCTAAGGCATTAAAACCTGAGGGCTATTTTCTTGGCATAACCCAGCCCATTCTGACACCATCACTTAGTACTCTGTGACCCTGGGCAAGTTACTTAACCTCCCTGGGCCTCAGTTTCCCTTATGTAAAGCAGAGATGATAACAGTACTGACTCATAGGGTTGTTCCGAGGATTAGCATATGAATAGAGCCTGGCAATTTCTACATAAATATTAGCTTCTTTTTTTAAAGACGTGAATATTAGCTTCTAATATTGATACGCTCTGTCACAGTTCAAACCTTGCCTAGTGAAGTGCATGCAAATCCAGTCTTCTTACCACAGTGACTATAATGTTAGAACCTTTGTCCCTGGTAATGCCCCACCCCAAAACACACATACTCAAGGAATGAGTGAAATCACACATCAGACAGAAACAGGAAAATTACCCCTTCTCAGAAAAAAAGTACATCTTACTTATGGTAACTCGGCCCAAACATCCCTTCCCTGTGTTTTCACACGATGGTCATCTTCTACTCTAGCACCTACTACTATGCTGCCCCTCACCCTCCCAACCTACGTTCCAAAGCCCGCAGGTCTCTCCGGGCCTAGCTGGTGTCTGCTTTCTCCAGAAGTCTCCTTCAAACTCTGCTTTACTAGGCAACTTAGAATTTGTTTTTTGCTTTTTTGTTTTGTTTTGTTTTTACAACTTAAAATTTTTTGTCTGTTGCACCTAAGGCTTTATTCTGAACTCAATGCTGGATAAAACACCAAAAACACTAATAAATGTTTATTTTTTTGTCTTTTCTTCAAAGTCAGCATATGTAGCATCAAAGGGTTATCAAACCTGTTACAGAGAGAACTGTAGGAGGAACAGTGATGGGGATGGTATGGAGATAGTTTTCATTTGACTCCTGGTTTTTAAAGAGTCCAGTAGATTTCTGCCATTAGAGTAACTTCTTACAGATGATAAATACTTGACAATATTTTTAATGTGAAAATCATAAATCAAATATTGTTTATTCTTACTCAAATTGATAAATGATCTTTTCTCCTTGCCACTCTTACATGTATGTAAGGAAACAAAATATTCTAAGCCAGAATAAATATATTAGGTGCCTGGATTTCTCTTTCGTATTTATAAACTGACTTAAAAAAAAAAAGTCACAGTACTAAAGCAATTTACCACCGCTGGAAATTGAGACACACTCTTCGGTTCCAAAGTTGCAGAACTTTAACCAGAAACTTAGAGATGGAACCCCAACTTTTTATATTCTCTAGACCAGAGGGCAGCAGAAATTGTCCTAAAGAGCCAGACACTAAATATTTTAGGCTTTGGGAACCACTGGTCTCTGTCACCACCACTCAACACTGCTGTTGTAGCACAGGGGCAGCTCCAGACCACACGAAAATGGGCATGCTACGTTTCAATAAAGCAATTTGTGGACACTGAAATTCGAATTTCAGATGATGTTCACAGGTCACTAAAGTCTTCTTTTGATTTTTTTTTTCCAACCATTTCAAAACATAAAACCATTTTTAACTTGTTAGTGGTACCAAAAGAGGCAGAAGGCTGGGTTTGGCCCACAGGCCATATTTTGTGGACTCCTGTCCTAGGCGTGATCACAAGTTCAAGCTTCTTCAACCCACGACAAAGTCCTTAATTGTCACGGACACATGGCATTTAGCTCAATATTCACTTAAAAATCAGGTGTGAAATAATCCCATGAGCCTCTCTTTATTAGCTCAACTTGAAAAAACAAAAGAACCTAAAGATGTCAAACTTTCACCAGAACTTATGCCAGTCTTACCCATAAAAACGTCACCCATAACCCTTTTCTTCACCACACACAATTAACAATTTATGGAGTAAGAAACTAGTTGGCAGTTGTCTTCATAGATGAAGTCAGTGCAGTCTCATGCTTTTGCCAAAAGGCAGAGAAACCAGTTCTTGATGCCTCTTCTCCCCAAGGCTATTCAAGGCCAGTTGACACAGAATGACTGTGAAGCACAAGTTTTGGCTTCAACGTGGATTTTTAACCAGGAACTTTACTACTTTAAAAAAAAATTTTAATGATTTTTTTTCTAAAGAGCCTTAGTTTTTGCTATTTTTACTGACACTCATTTTAAAAGCAGCAGTGCTGAAAGTCGAGATGTCTCTATGGAAACCCAAGAGAACTCTGTTTTTTTTTTTTTTTTTTTTTTTTTTTTATTTATTTATGATAGTCACAGAGAGAGAGAGAGAGAGGCAGAGACATAGGCAGAGGGAGAAGCAGGCTCCATGCACCGGGAGCCTGATATGGGATTCGATCCCAGGTCTCCAGGATCGCGCCCTGGGCCAAAGGCAGGCGCCAAACCGCTGCGCCACTCAGGGATCCCAAGAACTCTGTTTTTATGGCCAATGACTACCTACCTAGATTATCCGTCCTGTTGGATTACTATGGACCATCTGTGATACCAGGAACATCACATCTCAGACCTATTTTTCCAAAACTATCTTATTAGATATAATTGATATATTAGTTTTGCTAAGGAGATCAGGAGAGAAAGAACTTGAGGCTTCCTTTTCATTTTTATTGACATCCCTATTTAAAATATTCTTATTACAAAAAGAATTTTGTAAATTTCAGCTGATATGATAAAAGAGAAAGAATACAATCAAATAACCTAATAGTTGCTCTGAAATTTATATCATTGATTTCCCCCCCCTCCTTTCTACTAATATCAAATACATTTTCCTGTAAAACTTTAAGTTCTCTCCCCCAGATTGTTTACCCATGGCAAGGGAGAGAAAAAACAGTAATTACATAGTACAGAAATCAAGTTATCAAAATTAACCAGGTGACCAAAATCAACACCACCCGTGAGGAACAGATGGCCTTTGGGTGCCTTTAAATGTGATTCTGAGAAAATAACATCACCTAAAATGCAGAACCTGAATCTAATCGTGAGAAAGCACCATTATTAAAAAAAGATAATAGTTGGGCACCTAGGTAGCTCAGTCAGTTAAGTGTCATACTCTTGACTTCGGCTGAGGGCATGATCTCAGGGTCTCAGAATCAAGTCCCAAGTCAGGTTCCCTGCTCAGTGTGGAATCTGCTTCTCCCTCTCCCTTTGTCCTTCCCCGCCCCTGCTTGTGCTCTCTTTCTCTCTCTCTCAAATAAATATAATCTTTAAAAAATAAAATAAGCTAAAGATGCATGGCAACTAAATAAGATACCTGTCCTTAGAATATTCCAATACTGTGGGGTGGGTGGGGAAAATTCTCTAAAGGACATTATGGGGTCAACTGACAATATTAGAATACAAACAGTATATTAGATAAAAGTATTGTACTAATGTTAAATACTCTGAAGCCAGGAAATGTACTGTGATTATATAAGAGAATATCCTATGCTTAGGAAATACAGAAATATTTCAGGGCAAAGGGCCATGATGTGTGATGTAACTTTTTACTAAATGGTTGAGAAGAACCATTATATACATTCATACGTACATAGATATGGATAGATAGGCAGGGAGAGAAAGAATAAACAGAGCAATGATAAAGCTAAAGGTATAAAATGTTAACCAATTAAATTTATAAGTCTGAAATTATTTGCAAATAGAAAGTTTATAGAAAATTAATAGTGCTTGCCTACATTGGCATTCTTGGCTATCTATTTTCCCTCCATAATATTCCAAATGCAACACAAGAAGAGATGCTTGTGCCAAGTAACAAGAAAGTGCAAAGATATTTTAACATAATCTTTTATCAGTGATCGAAGCCTGCCAAAACATTACACACCATCCATCTTAGCCAAGTCCACTGCAAAGACCAGCAAACACTGGATACTCTAGCAACTTAGATGCAATCGTTTCCTACTAATTCCTCCAAACAGGGCCATGATTCTAAAACTTTTTCACATTCGACAATTTTCAGAATCATCCCATGCACAAAACAAGTCTCTCAGCCAGTCTCTTAGGCACTATCAATGTCAACCAACTGGATTCAATGTTTTGAACTGGAGCATCCTAATATTGTAAGCCATGTGTAAGTAGCTACAGAATGTGGAACTCAGGAAGCAGGATTACCTCATCGTATGTCCAGAACTCACCACCACCACTTCAAAATTGTGGTCAGAATCTCGTACCCTCAATGTCTATGACCTCACAATGCTCCTCTATCAGCACCAGAGGTGCTCACCTCCAATCTGCAATATGCCCTCTGAACTGATTTTTTTTTCCCCCAAAAGCAGTAGAGGAAACTGAGCCTAAAACCAAAAAAATAGGAGAGACTTTTCTGGAAGTCAATCAATCACTGAAGAGAGAATCAAAAGGGTGGTAACCAAAATTAAAATTTTCAGCCATGCTTAGGAATTAGGAAATGCCCAATCTCCAAAACACAGCAGAGACAGAATATATGTATAAGTCTTTTCTATCCTTCTTGGTTTTATTACTTTCTTGATACTTTTAATATTGACTATCTGTAAGATAGCCAAAACACCCATATACTACTTCTGGCTTTGACTTCAAGTCCTAGATATTCTCCTTATTACTCATTTTTCTCCAAACGTCAATCAATAATCTTACTTAACAAATGTTTACCAAGAACCTACTTGACATACATACTTAGCCAGACTTATTGGTCCTTACTGGCACTAGACAAGATTCCAGGTTTTTTGTCTACAAATAATCCCTGAGAAAACGATGATGCGAAGATAGTAAGTGCACTGGAGTCAGCTTGCAGGAAAGCAGAAGGAACCAGGAATGAATTACGACCAACTGCAAAAAGGAATAAACTAGTCAAAGCACTAAAATTTAATGAAGAAATAATTTTTTAAAGTAGGTGAAATTGAAGATAAGTTACATGTAACATTATTATAGATTCAAAATTATGCATATTCTTCTCCATAAAATTTCTCAAATGTAGTTAAAAACATACACGTACAAAAGCAAGCAATTATAAATCCTCTGAAGCATGTAACTTGTGATTAGCTGCTACTCTCAGCAATATAAAAATACTTTTACCACAATTACATTCCAGCCTGTAATGTAATTCAAAACAAACAAGTCAGACATCGCTCAAATGGTAGAACCAACAAATACAGATGCTTTGCATCAAGGAAATGAATCCGCTGAAGAAATGCAACAGAGGCCTGGAGCTGGGCTTCTGGTGGAACGGCGAGGCCCCCTTCTGGGCAGACGCAGCGCACCCCACTGCGGCTCTGCAAAACTGTTCTTTAGCGCCAGCCCTTACTGCAGCAGAAAGCCTGAGTGTCTGGGACTTCCTGCTGTGGAGACCCTGCCCAGGGTTTCGTGCACATTTCTAAATTTTAGGTTTTAAATTCTAAATATAGACTTTTATCAAAAGAAATAACAATTTGATATCAGATTAAACCATTCTATTTAAATTGTGTAACCAGCAGTCCCAATACCAAATGCCACCTTACCATCCTCTTTACTCTGTTTTTTCTTATTGACACAATTCTTAACATCTTCTAAAATGCTATATAATCTAACAGGTGTATTATGTGTTTCCTCCTGCTAGAATAGCCACTCCATAAGGGCAAGATTCATGGTTTTGTTCACTGATTTGATGAACAAATCAAGCCTGGCATAGTATAGCTGCTCAATAATAAAGAAGGAATTGTCTCACTTATGTTTTTATCTTTTTAAGAAAATATTCATCTTCAAAGAAGGAATAAGGAAGGTTTTATTATAGCAATATGCTATGATTTAAAAATGACACTTAAGTACTTGTTTTAAAAGTATGCATTTTCTTGGGCAGCCTGGGTGGCTCGGCGGTTTAGCTCTAGCCTTCAGCCCAGGGCATGATCCTGGAGTCCCAGGATCAAGTCGCACATCGGGCTCCTTGCATGGAGCCTGCTTCTCCCTCTGAATATGTCTCTGCCTCTCTGTGTCTCTCACGAATAAATAAATAAAATCTTTAAAAAAAAAAAAAGTATGCATTTTCTCTGCCTTATAAAAGCAAAAAGACAAAAAAAAAAAAAACAAAAAAAAACACCTGTTCTGAGAAGCACACATTCATAGACTAGATGTACATAACTCCTAAACAAATTCCAAGGAAGTCACGGGCCCTCAATACACTGGGAGAACAGAATGGCCACAAAGAATGAAGAATCCAATTCTGAAGCGCCAGGTGTCCTCCGTGTGGCACACTGCGGTCCGGACACACGCCAACTGCCTGGGTCTGGATGCACATTCACAAACTCAGCACGTTCTGGCATGGGCGCAATTATTTTGGCAGGAAGGTTATGCATCACTTACTAATTTCTAAGACCTCAATCTTTATCTTCTTTTCCCCTTCTTAAAATGTTCTTGAAGCTTATGGAAAAGCTAATCATTGTTTACAATTGTGAGACTTTTAAAACGTGCTAATTTGTTTCCTCAACAGCACAAATACATGAGAGACAATTTTTCCAGGGGCGAAGGACACAGATAAACATGATTCAGTGATGTCAAAAGCTTTTTTTCAGTCCAAGAATTCCATCGAGGGGTATCAACCTTCCATCAGAACAAGTTCAAGGTTTCTGACATTCCTTTTTCCGAACTTTTGATTTGGGTGCTGTGAAAAGAAAAAGAGAAAATGAAGAGGGTAGGTGCTTGTCAGAGTCTCTTCACACTGATTTGTCTTTATTTTTTTGTATAGCACGGGAAAACTGACCGTTTGGATTTTCCTGTTTGTAGAAGGTCTTTAACATTTCCACCGCTTCCTCAGCCCGATATCCGGGAATGCACTGATGAAATGAGAAAATTGAGAATGAATATTGGCCTATGAAAATGTGGTCTGTAGCCCATTAAAAACAACAATGTATACATAATTACATAAATTTACTTCAGGTAATGTTAATATGCTCTAGGGATAGCAATAATGCGGTAAGGAAGTATGTTACAAAAGAATAGATGTACGGACTCAAATGTCACTCTAACCAACTATTATTTTTCCATCAAGTACTACTGAAGTTACTAGTTATGTGATCTTGGGTATGATAATCAAACTCTGTACCCCAGCTTCCTCCTGTGTGAAATGGAGGTAATTACAGCACTTACCTCAGAAGGATTTCATGAAGATTAAATAACATTACATAAAATAACACCTGTTAAATACCTGGCCTTCCTAAGAGTTTGTTAGGCATCAGCTATTTTTATTTAGTGTACTTACTAGTAGCCCATTACGTGTTTGATGCTACAGAGCTAGAGTTGGCAATCCACAGCTGAAAATGATCAGTTAAGTATGATTTTTATATTTTTTAAGAGTTGTGGAAAAAAAAAAGATGTAACAGACATAAGTGGCTTACAAGGCTAAAATATTTATATTAGGCTTTTTACAGAAAAAAAATGTGGAACCTTACTATAGCAGATTTTTTTTAAAAAGTATTCAGTTTGAGGGGGATCTGGCACAGTCGACTGAGCAACCAACTCTTGGTTTCAGCTTGGGGTCGTCATCTTGGGATTGTGAGATTGGCCCTGTGTGGGCCTCCATGCTCAGTCAGTGCAGAATCGGCTTGAGATTCTCTCTCCCTCTGCCCCTCCCATGCATGCTCTGTCTCTCATATAAATAAATAAATCTTAAAAAAGAAGTGTTCAGTTTGGTCTATCTTTGGTATCTAACTAGAGATAAGAGGCCGTTATGTGAAAGATTAGAAATTGTGATAACGGCATGGAGTGAAATTACATGAAATATTACATGAAGACAAAGCCTGAACTTGCCTTAATTTTTTTAAAAAAATTATTTATTTATTTATTCATGAGAGACACAGAGAGAAGGCAGAGACACAGGCAAAGGGAGAACAGGCTCCATGCAGGGACCCTGACGTGGGACTCCATCCAGGGTCTTCAGGTCACGCCCTGGGCTGAAGGTGGTGCCAAACCACTGAGCTATCCGGGCTTCCCTTGAACTTGCCTTAAAGATAGCAAATATTTGGGGCACCTGGGTGGCTCAGCTGGTTAAGCATCTGACTTGATTTCCGCTCAGTTCATGATGTTGGGGTCATGAGACTGAGCCCTGAGACAGCTTGCATTGGGCGTAGAGTCTGCTAAAAAGACTCTTTCTCCTACCTTCCGACCCCCACCCCACTCGTAAGCACATATGCACTAAAATAAATACAAATTTAAAAAAATTTTAAAGAGCAATATTTAGGGACGCCTGGGTGGCTCAGCGGTTGAGCGTCTGCCTTCGCCTCCGGAACTCCAGGATCGAGTCCCACATAGGGCTTCCGGCATGGAGCCTGCTTCTCCCTCTGCCTATGTCTTTACCTCTCTTTCTCTGTGTCTCATGAATAAATAAATAAAATCTTTAAAAAAATAAAAACAAAAGCGCAATTATTTAAAGAAACAGAGCATTTCAAGGAAAGAGTAAGAATAAGCTTAGGCTGTTTATAAAGAAACCAACTAATGTGGGGTGGGGAGCCTACAGGTAAAGAATGAGATAAAATGAGATCAAAATATCCAGGGCTTTGAAAGCATGTCACAGACTTGATGCACTGCATCCTTCTAAGGTGCATGAAATGATAAAATGAACAGAGATGCCAAGGAGGCACATCTGGAAGCCACCACAGGAGAGGAAGCAGCCAATGAGTGCCAGCACAAGGGTCTGCCCAGTGTGGTCATTGCTTAGAGTGGTCTGTTGCTCAGAATGAACCTCTCTTTCTCTTGTGCCTTCCATCATCTCTTAACTGGGCCTATTATAAAGCCTGCGTAAATCTCTCCCATTCAAAGAAATAAACTTTCTGAGTTTCATGTTTTTAGATTGTACATATAAAAAAAATAAAAAAAATAAAAAAAATGATTGTACATATAAGTGAGATGATACAGTATTTGTCTTTCCTTGGCATAATGCCCTCAAGGTCTATCCACGTTGTCCCCAGTTGGCAGAATTTCCTTGTTTTTTATGGCTGAATATTCTATTGCATATAATGAAAAAAATATATATATACACACACACATATATATATACATAATTTATATATTTATATAAACATAAAACATTTCTTTATAGAAGCAGAGTAGAATCGTAGTTATCAGGGGCAGAGGGGCAGGGGGTTGGTGGGAATGAAGAGACACTGATCCAAGGATACAAACTTTCAGTTATAAGGTTCTAAGGATCTAAGGTACAGCATGGTGACTATAGTTAACAATACTGTATTGTGTACTTGAAAATTGTTAAGAAGGCAGGCCGTGTGGCTTAGCGGTTTAGTGCTGCCTTCAGCCCAGGGCGTGATCCTGGAGACCCTGGATCGAGTCCCACGTCAGGCTCCGTGAAGGGAGCCTGCTTCTTCCTGTGCTTTGTGTCTCTGGCTCTCTTTCTCTCTGTGTCTCTCATGAATAAATAAATAAAATCTTTAAAAAAAAAAAGAAAAAGAAAACTGTTAAGAGAGTAGAGCTTAAGCGTTCTCACCATAACGACAAAATGGTAATTACGTGAGGTGAATGGTGTGCTAACTAACTTTATTGTGGTAAACATTTCACAATCTATGTATCTATCAAATCATCACATTGTACACTTTAAACTTACACGACATTAACTGTCAATTTTATCTCAGTAAGGCTGGGCAAAAAAAAAAAAACAACCCAATAACCTTCCTTCCACCCTGCCTCTCAGGCAAGCTGCTGACGCTGCTGGTCCCTGAGAACATTCCAGACTCCTGGCTGTAGGCTTGTGTGGCTTTCATTTCCTCCTCAACCTCATCCTTACTGTCTTGTGATGACAGATATCCCAAGGGCCCCTATTGACCAAAACACTGGTTTGCTTTCCAACCTCCACAACTCTTTGCAGTGTGGAGACTACTGACCATTCTCACTTCTTTTTAGAACTCTCTCCTCCTTAGCTTTTCAGTTCTCCCAACCTTCTCCGATCATTCTAACCATGGTGGGTCAATCCCCTTATTCTCAGGCCTCCTTCTCATGCTCCTCAGATCTCCCACCTCTCCTTATGCTCTCATAAACATAAGGAGCACAAAGCACCTCCTCACCTATGAAGTTAGAGCTATGATCCTCCACCTTGGCTGCTCAGTGGAATCATGTGAGAACGCTCTTAAAAAAATACATTTGGTATATGTGCTTGGCTAAGGAGCCAATGGGGCCAAGCTACCACCTGTGGGATTATGACTGAACACGCTAAGTCAGAAGCCCACCCAAGCAGAAGACTGGGTAGTGACATAGAGCCTCATTGGCCTCAGAGAACTTGTCCCCCTGCTGTCCCAGCCCGAGGCTGCCCATGTGCCCTCACACCCTGCTCTACACAGTCCTGTTCAACACAGTCTGGTGTGGTGAGCCACTCCTCCTGGGAAACAGCAAGACCGGAATGGGCCTACCCACCTCACCCATCACCAGTGAGTGTTCATGGGGAACCTGCTTCTGGGTCAGGGTTTCCCATGTAGCAGAGCAGCTCTCTCCCTGCAATCTATTGAAAGTCAGCCCTCCACACAAGGGTATGTGAAAAACAAAACTAAAAAAGAAAAAAACACAAAAACACCTCACACAAAACCCCCTGCCCAACCCAACCAAATAAAGGAAGAAAACATAGGCTCCAGAAACCTAAGGTATCAATGTTTTCTTTAGACTCTCGAAACATTAAAAACAAAAACAAAACATAATTTGGCATCAAACCTGGAGATTGGTCTTCAAACAATGGTCATCGTTTCACTGAAGCCAATTAGGCCAGGTACATACACTACAAACAAACTTATTCTTTGGTTCAGCCAGATCAACTCTGTGCAGAGATGTGTAACAGAGGACAGTTTATGCAACCAATGTCACTGTGTTGTAGAGAAATTTTCTACCCATGTCTGATATCCAAGGGTTCATCTTTGTTCTGCCCAGAAGCTTTGAGAAATTCTTTAGCTCTTTTTCATAAATGAAGTACAGAGTCAGTAATTTCGCTTGTAAAGAAAGAGCTAACTAAGCAAATTTTGAAGTACTGATATAAGTGATTAGAAAAATCAAATCACTTTGCAGATTTTCTTTTTTTTTTAATTTTTATTTATTTATAATAGTCACACACAGAGAGAGAGAGAGAGAGAGAGAGAGAGAGAGGCAGAGACACAGGCAGAGGGAAAAGCAGGCTCCATGCACCGGGAGCCCGACGTGGGATCCAATCCCGGGTCTCCAGGATCGCACCCTGGGCCAAAGGCAGGCGCCAAACCGCTGCGCCACCCAGGGATCCCACTTTGCAGATTTTCTTAATGGTCAAGCCGATCATATTGTTTACTCTCCGTTGTCCTATTACAATTTGTTTGATGTGATGTTAAAAGTCATCTATTCTCAGATGTACAGAATTTGTTAGGAAAGAATGTTCGGCTGGGAAAACTCAAAATAGAATGTTTTCCAAAACTTATTCTCAGTGGAATTCAGCCAAATTTAGCCCTTCATAGGTACTCAGTATTCTCCTAAGAACTGCTGAGATCTTTGAAGTTAACTGCCCACCATGTCCAGCATTTGTTAAATCCTTTTCTTGTTAAAACATAATATTTTAGGATTAACCTTAGAAAAAACAATCAAACTAGTTTGTGAAAGATGCTATGTGTCTATAGGCCAAACTCTGAAATATCATTTCCTAATGCTCATAGCCTTAAACACAAAAACTTGGGGACAGGTGGCAAGATTAAAAGCAAAGTAGAATTTTTAAGAGAAGATGAAAGTAATATGGATTCTTGGATCTGGGGGAAATTTCAATATTGAAAAGGCGGGGGGGGGGGGATAATGCTAGACACCAAAAGTAGTACACAGCAACAATGATGTCTGTGTGGCTCAGTTGGTTAAGCGTATGGCTCTTGGTTTGGGCTCAGGTCATGATCTCAGAGTTCTGAGTTCAAGCCCTACATCCAGCTCAGTGCTCAGCAGAGTCTGCTTGTCCCTCTCCCTCTGCTCCTTCCCCTAGGCTCTCTCTCTCTTTGTGTCACTCTCATAAATACAAATAAAATCTTTTTTAAAAAAAATGTTTAAAAATATAGTACATAGCAATAAAGCAAAATGACTGGCTTTGTGTAAAAATATTGTGTGTGCACTGTAAATAGCATCTACTGTCACTGAGAGGCCAAGCTTCACACAAATGTGGTACAGCATGGAGGTGGGGACAATCAACTGAGTGAAAATGCCAAAGTGACAGCATCACCAAACATACCTGAAGGCATTGGTGAAGACTGTCAGAAGACACTTGGGAAGGCCACAGACTCTTCTTCTGGAGAGATTCTGCTAATTAAAAGAGCCAAGCACTCACCTGGAAGTGATTAGCTGTCTTCTTCTATTGAGGCAAAAATGAACTTGACCAGAGGTCCCAGAGTTGGCCTGGTTCTAGCACAGCCTTTTGGTATCCTGACCACATGTGAAGTATTCCCAAGCCGATAAAGAGATCCAACCAATTAGGAAGAAAAAGCATAAGCAGATCATATTACCTGAAATGGTCTCCCGGTATTTGGTAAATCAGCAGAGGCAATATTTAGAACAGAGCCACAACCGCCAAATCGTTCGTTCTGACAGCCATATACAACCAGTGGGATTTATGAGAAAGAATTAAGGTCCTGAAGAGAAATGTGCAGCTCAAGTGCATACAGTGACAAAACCAGGCCATCCTGGACAGAAAGGCTCTGGCTACTTTTAAAAACAGTTATACTTAGGCTCAGTCTTAAAAATCATACAATCCATCTACACAAAGGAAGAGGTTTAAAGGATTCAGAGATTAACATCTTCCAATTGCAAATAATGAAAACTGACTACATAGTTGCTAAATGTTCACAGTTTGGTGTTCTCACTTGTCTTTCCTAACTCACTTTCTTTGAGTCATTAGAGAATTGGAGCCAGAAAGGAAGTAGGAATTTAATCCAGGGATTTTCACCTTTCAAAAATAGGATTGTCCCTTCATCTTTCCCCAAATAAAATACAACCTGTGCCCCAATATAAAACAGATCAAAGCTGAACCACTTTGTAAGGTAGGATAGGGAGAGAGTTCTAAGTTGACCAGAACTCCCCTCTTTACACAGTAGAGATTGTACACATTTATACTCAAAACCCTGTGTTACTTTTAAAGTGATAAAATTTTTCACACATACATAGCAAAATAAGTACATAACAATGCACAAGTATGAAATTGAATCTTTGAACTAGCAAATAATTTTTTAAAGATTTTGGAGACAAACTTGCTAACACTCAATATGTGTGTCATTCTATGAAAGACACTTCAAAGAGCTGTAACTTTCTCAATTTCCATTATAAGTGACTTGTTTTTTACCTTATATTTACTTTTGACTTAAAATTTTTCACACATTGTAATAGGTATTCATGGCAAAAATAAACAAAAACATATAAGCAGAGAAAGAAAAATTCTTAAATCACCTATAATCTATATCCAAAGGCACCAATAATCTATTATCCGAAGTTGCATATTCTTCAGACCTATTCTTTGCACAGTTTTATCATCTACCTTAATTTATGACTTATCCTTACATAAGTAGTTAGCTCTTAGTTTTTCTTTCTCTAGTTTATTTGGCTAATAGTTTTATATCTATTGATATAAAATGAAGTAATTTTATTATTCAAAAATCTTTCCTAAAAATTTTGGCCAAGGGGTACAATATATTATAACTTGTTTCACAGATCTGTTTTCACATATTAGAAAACAGCTTATGTGTCTGGCCATTTTTAAGTTTATAGGAGAGGCACAAGACATTAACTTACAAAGTCAAAGGATACTCATCAGGCGGAGAGCAGCTGCACACATAATACACGGTTCCACGGTGACATACAGCACAGTGTGTTCAAATACTTCAGAAGGACTCTTGCCACTTTGATGACACCAATCTAAGGCCTGATCGATGGCCACCATTTCTGCATGTCGAGTAGCCTGAAAAAAGAAGCACTGGCATCAACATGTAACTGCATTTTACAAACACTCAAATATAAATACAACAAAATGGGCCTGATGTTTCTGGCGTTTTAATGAATAAAGTTTTGGGACACTCTTAGCACTTGGCAATGTATTTCCCAGTTCTATTCCCATAACCTCATGAAGAAAAGACACACCTTATAGGAGATGTCATGAGAATTATGCCATATTTTTAGTTAAGTATCTCAGAACCTAAAGGGATGCTCTTTCAATTAAAATGCCATAGAAAATATAAGTCTGGGTGGGGGGGATGGTCTAGAGTTTGTGAATATTCTAGGGGAAGCGTGAAGTCTTTAAGCATGTGCTCCATTGTCAATGTTTTCAAAGCTATCCTTCACTCTACACAAATCTGTATTTAATTAGTGGAATGTCATCACTTACATTTTCTTTGGGATGAGATTTTATATTCTGGCAGACTCTAGAGAAAAGCAAAGATTTGGTATCAGTCTCAGATACCTCATGGGTGGCGTAGAATACAGAGAAATTACATAGCATTTGGAAATAACCATAGCTAAATTTGAATCCTGTCTGTGACATCACTAATTATGTGGCCTTGGGCAAGTTACATAACTTCTCTGTGGTTCCTCTATCTGTAATACAGGGTACACTGGCATCTCTACCTCATAAAACACTGAATTATACGAAGCAGATGCTGTGTGCTATATATGTGCTCTGTATGCAATAATTATTAATAACATTTGGATAATAACATTTATCAAAAGCTTATTCTGATTGCTAACTATGTATAAGCCACTGTGCTATATCCTATGTGAGATTTAAAAAGTCTGTCCTCAACAAGTATAAAATCTGGTTGGGGCAAATAAAAAGGTTCTCATTACCTGTGACACAGAATAGGGTGTGAGAAATGCTGGCACAGTGGCCAAGGTGCCATTGAAGCTACAGGCAGATGGAAGCAATGCAGGGACAGAATTACAAACTCAGAGCTGTAAGGCACTTTAGAGAACAGGTTCCCAAACCTACCTGCATACTAGAACTGAGGAACTTAAAAACAAAAAAGTTTCCCCAACTCAGGTACTTTTTAAAAATCAGATTCAGAATTACTGAACCAAATCTCCCTAGGATTCTCAATATGTAACTTTTGAACTGAATCACTGCAATCAACCTCTTTTTTTTTCTTTTTTTTTTTTAAGAAAATCCAGAGTGATGTGGTGTCTTACAAATAAGTGTTTTTTGGGTTTTTTAAAAAAGATGTATTTATTTGAAAGAGAGAGAGCGAGCGTGCAAGCTGGAGGAGGGGCAGAGAAGGAGCAGACTCCCCACTAAGCAGGGAGCCACAATAGGGCTTGATCCAAGGATTCTGAAATCTTGACCTGAGCTGAAATAAAAAGTCGGCTACTTAACCAACTGAGCTACCCTGGTGCCCCTCAACTTCTCTTTTAATAATGAATAACTATAAGCAAACTTAGAACATGTTAAAAACACACAGCTGGGAGAGGTGATTGGTAGTGATAAGAGTGGTGGTAGTATCAGAGCCAAAAGTAGGACTCAGGTTTCCTTATTTGGGGTCAAGAGTCTTTCTATAGAAGACTTTTGTAGAGTAATTTTCTATAGGACACATAAACCAAAATAAATGCAGGTTAATTTCAAGATACAGAAGAAACCCAGGTCATTTGGGGGGTTAGATGGATGACATTAGGGCATTCAAAGTTCTGATATTAAAGATATCATACCAAATCACAAAATACAAATATGGAGACAGGGCAATTACTTAAAATGCAGAATTTTACACCAAGACAAGTATCTGTATATTCACGATTGCTACATTATGTTTATTACTTATCTCACAAGTATTTTGATAACCACATAATAATTGCTTTGTGAATCCAGGTTCCTACTTTGCATGTGTTTTCTTTTTGATAGATGTGCTAGATAAACATTAAATTCCCCATAGCACTATTACCAACACTTGTTCTCTGGTTCCCAAGATCAAATAAGATCAAAGTCTATATGAGTGCCCTTATGGTTAGAAGCTGTGAGCCCACCTAGTATTTCTGATAATCCTAAAATTGCATACTTCATTTATACTTACTGTGACACACTGCTGGAATACCAAGAAATACTGCCTTAATTCATGAACTTCTCAACCTAACCACAGTAATATAAAGGCACACAACCTATTAGAGTATAATACCAGGGCGCCTGGGTGATTCAGTCAGTTATATGTCCAACTCTTGATTTCAGCTCAAGTCATGATCCCAGGGTCATAAACTCGAGCCTTGAATCAGGCTTCACACTGAGCGTGGAGCCTCCTTAAGATTTCCTCTCTCCTTCTCCTTCTGCCTCTCCCTGCCACACTTGTGCACACATGTACACTTTCTTTCTCTCTCTCTCTAAAAAAAAGTTGTTAAATAAAAAAAATAAAATAAAAAATAATAGTGTATGGAATGATGGGGTGCCTGGGTGGCTCAGGGGGTTAAGCATCTGCCTTCATCTCAGGTCATAATCCCTGAATCCTGGGATAGAGCCCCACATCAGGCTTCCTGCTCTCCCTCTCCCTATGCTGCTTCTCCTACTTGTGCTCTTTCAGTCACTCTTTCACTCAATAAGTAAATAAAATCTTTTTTAAAAAAAGAAAAAATAATAAAGTGTAATACCACATATAGGTACAGAGACAGCAGATGGTAGAGACTATTCCATTGAATTATATATAATATACCAACAGTTTCCTTTATACAATCCTTTAATACCTCCAAATATATAAACTAAGATGATTTTTTAATCTACCAGGAGGAAAACAATATGTAAAGATAGTAAAGAATGTGATGAGTTAAGTTGACGTGTTTTGTAAAGTGGAATTTTCGTATTAGATTTGCTAAGGATGGAGATTAGATTCATTTCTTCAGTACTGACACTCTAATGTCCTAATATCCCTTCTTGAATTTCACTCAAGTGCTAAAGTAGAACTCCATAAAATAGAAAATTACCCCAAAGATTTTATTGCTTCATTAAATTTTTCTGAATTTTCCAAATTTTAAAAAACATGGATCACTTTATAACTAGAAATGAAGGCATTCAAAAAAAGAAATGTTAAAGGGAGACTACCCTTTCATCGGTACCTATGGGTCTTGACACAGACCCATCTTCTTGCTACTGTGATGAAGTTCAGCGCACTCCTACCTTCACTGCTGTATGTTTGCAATTAGACTATTCAAATGACATACATTTTTGGTTTGATTAACTTCGTTTCGTCCCTTCCCCACAACTTCGTTGTTGTAGACCATAAGGCAGCCAACAGGAACTTCAATATTCTCTAGGGCTTCCTTGGCCTAAAAGACAAAGTGGAAAATTTAAGATGTAACGTTCAATACTTAGAAAGATTACGGGAAAGAAACAGACATAGCATAAGTACACATGTATAAACACTAGAACAAAGAAACACAGCTGAGCTCTCCCTCCCCCTAAATATAGTTCAATATTTAGTGCCTTTTTTCTCTGTTATATCCATATTAAGGGAGACTTGGAAAAAAAAAAAAAACTTTCATAGGTTCTGAGCCCCTGATTTCTTCTTCTCATTGCAAGCAGAAGTGAGCAAAAGGCTGTTAGAATAAAACTGACTCTTATTCTTGCAGTGGCAGGGTCTGTGCAACTTTTCAGAGATCATATATATGTTTGCAAAGGAAAATAGATAACATGTATAAATACTTTATTGAAGTCCTTCCCTTGTTGAAATTCTACTTGCTTAATTTTTTGAATATTAAGAAGATACCTTCTAAGAGTTCCAATAGCAAAAAGGTAACCAGACTGGATGTCTCTCTATGCTATTCCTGCTTTGACACAAGAAAAGCTTTGGTGCACTCTATGTGAAAATGGCATAATCACTTTGGAGAACACTTTGGAAATTTATTTAAAAGGTAAATATACATATAGCCTAGGAACAAATTCTACTTCTAAGTAGTTATTTAAGAGAAGGGAATATATGTCCATACAGATATACACACACAAAACCCTGTACAAGAATGTTCATAACGGTGCTTGCTTCAGTAGCATATATACTAAAATAGAATGTTCATAATAGCTTGACTCATAATAGCCCAAATCTGGGAACAGCACAGGTGTCCATCAACAAGAGAACAGATAAACAAACTGTGGCATAGTCACATGGTGGACTCAGCATGAAAGGAACAAGCTAGAGATACACCTAACAACATGGGTGAATCTCAGACATGCTGAGTAAAAGAAGTCAAACATAAAAAAGCATACACACTGTATGTCTCTTCAGGTGTAATACTAGAACAGACAAAAGTAAACACAATGATAGCAATTTTTTCATGGATGGGCATGTGTATACTGACTGGAAAGGGACACAAGGAACTTTTTTCCAGGGCGGTCAAACCTCTATCTTGCAGAGGGTGTCAATTACACAGATGTTTGCATCAGTCAAAACTGAATGGACAACATTTAAGACCTGTGAATTTCATTGTATGTAAAGTACATTTCAATTAAAAAATATAAATTAGGAAAATAAGCTTAAGAGCATTTCCACCACCATCATCTCGGAAACAGTAAACCAATGCTTATATTGGTAGTTTCCCCCACCACAGGCTGTCCATTTTTCTTCTAGCTCTGTCGCTGACTGAACCAGAGAAGCCGAGGGCCAAGACAGCTAAAAAATACTTCTTTGGGGAAAGAGCAGAAAGCAAGGAGGTTACATCTGCATATTCCCTGATCCTGTTGCTGAGAGAGAACAGAGGAAGAGCACAACTCTTGAACTAGTGTATAATCATTTCCATCTCACTACAGTCAAGAAAATCCAAGTATGGCTGTTTCTAGAAAAGCATAGCATTTCTCATTTTGAGAGGCTTGAAGATACTCTGGAAGACCAGATTACCAAGTAAGTGTAGGTATTCACACACAGCATAAGGCATATACAGTGCGAAGTTGAAGACACTGCTTAAAACAGCATGTTCTTCCTCCTGTACTAGATCCTATTCCCAGCTATACTTTATTTACAGTAGCAATAACTTCCTATTATCATTCTAACATGGGTTCCTTGCCCCTGCAACCATGTTCAACTGACAATTTGTCCTTGGGCCAATAAAGGTGAAAGGAAAAGCCCCTTCCTTCTCCTTTCTCTGTATCTCCCTTTCCTCCTCCAGGGTAGTGGGACATAGCTAGGCCCTGCACAGATCTAAGGAGACGGTATCTGAAGCAGTAACACTCTATTCTTCCAAACTGAGTCATGAACCACCCACAGGCTGTCCAGTTCTGTAACAATGGTTAAAGCATGCCCAGTTTATGCAAAGTTCAGAAATATGAAGAGTTCCAAGGTTTAGTGAATATATGCAAATAAATATACAAATGCATCACTGGGTACTAGAGAAAGGAAAGCCAGGAGGAGGGCTGGCAGTAAGGACTGCGATGCTAAGTATCCATGAGTTAAGGGAATCAGCATACAAAGAACACTATTTAAAGTAAGATTTGGAATACACAGAACTCCAAGTACACATGAGAGAGAGCATTTACTCATCCCAACAAATATTTGTTGAAGATCCTGAGATAGGAAATTATCCTGGATTACTCAGGTGACCCTAAATGCAATCACAAGTGTCCTAATAAGAGAGAGGAAAAGAGAGAGATTTGAAGACGTTACACTTTTGGCTTTGAAGATAGAGGGAGGGGCTTTGAGTGAAGCCAAGAACATTGCTCCAGAAGCTGGAAAAGGTGAGGAAACATTCTCCTCTAGAACCTTCAGAGGGCACGCAACTCTGCTGACACATTGGGTTTGGCCCAATGAAATGAATTTCAAACACCTGGCATCCAAAGCTGTAAGAGAATAAACTTTTGTTTTAAGCCATCAAGTTTGTAGTAATTTGTTACAGAAGCCATAGGAAATGAATACACTCTGTTAAGAAGAAGAAAAAAACAAGCTAAAACTGGAAGAAAATATTTGCAAACCACATATCCAACAAAGGTTTACTATCAAGACTATATAAAGAACTCTAAAAGTTCAACCGTAAAAACAAAAACAAAACACAATCCGAATAGAAAATGGGCAAAAAGATATTATGAAATACTTCACCAGAGGGCCTACAGATGGCAAATAAGTACGTGAAAATATATTCATACCATTAGCCATTAAGGAAATGCAAATTATAACCACAATGAGTTATCACTACACACCTATCAGAATGGCTAAAATAAAAAGTAAAAACACCAAATGCTGGTGAGACTGAGGAAAAAACAGGATCACTTATACACTGCTGGTAGAGCTGTAAAATAGTACAGCCACTCTGGAAACTAGCTTGGCAGTTTCTTAAAAAGCAAAATATACAGTTAACATATGACCCATCTATTGCACTCTCAGGCATTCTCCCAAGGAACTAAAAACTTAGGTTCACACAATACATAAATTCAGATACAGACACAAATATTCATAGGAGTTTTATTCGTAATAGGCAAAAACTGGAAATGATCTAAATGTCCTTCAAATGATGAATAGTTAAACTGTGGTATGTCCATCCCATAGAATACCACACAGCAACAAAAGGAGTAACCCACTGATTCACTTAACACTTGGATGGACTTCAAGGAAATCGTGCTCAATGAAAAAAACCAACCCCCAAAAGGTTTCATATGCACATATATAACATTCCTGAATGCAAAATTACAGATACAAAGAACAGATTAATGCTGGCCAGGGTTTAAGGGCTTAGGAGGGAATGGTGGCCTTGTGGTGATTGAGCAGTTCTAGTGGTGGTTAAACAAAACCAAACGTGATAAAATTGCATAGAACTATGCACACATGTGCATACAAAGCTGATTAAATCTGAGTAAGCCCTACAGATTGCATCGACGTCATTTTCCTGGTTTTGATTATTGTACTAGTTACGTAAGATTAGTTACCACAGAGGGAAGCTGGGTAAAGGGTACATGAGCCTTCCCTATATACTTTCTTTGCAACTTCTGTGAATCTATAATTATTTCAAAAGGAAAAGTTTAAAAAGTAATAAAGGTTGAGTAAACAAGAAGTGTCTTGCAATGGAGAGAGACACTCAATGGAGATGAAGAAGAAATGCTTAATAAAGTAGAAGGAAAATCAAGAGTGTGCTGTTTCAGAAGATCCCAAAAGGAAAACAGGCCAAGAAAAAAGGATCAGTGACACACATGCAATTTTGGGGGGTATGGCGGAAATGAAAACCAGTGGCTTGAACAGTGACCTATCTACAGGTTAGATTTCTAGCTTCTAACTATTACAGACTGTTAGACTGTTATGTCTACATACAACTGTTCTGATTCTAAGCTTGCAAATCATAAGAGCTGACACCTTCCTGAAAAACTTACTTTGACCCAGGACTATTTTAAGCATTTTATAAGTATTAATGCATTTTGTTTACAATGCTATGAGATAGATTCGGTGAGCTTCCCCATCTTACAGATGAGCAAAGGGAGACATGGGGAAATTAGGGAATTTGCTCATGTGAGAGGCCAGGGACAGAATCCAGGTAATCTGCTCCAGGCATTCATTTCTTCAACAAATATTTATGGACACCTATGAGGTACTAGCTTCCCTGCCACTCTGCCTCAAATTTCTACTCTAGTCACCACTGATCAGCTGTTTTGTAACTTTTTGGGTTCAAAATAGGTCTAGTAAGGGACAAAAAGGGAAACTTGAGAAACTGAAATCTAGAAAGTTTAAGGATAAAAAACTGCAAGCGAAGAACAAATGAGGGGTGCATGTGACAAAGATTTTCTGTAAAACTATCTCCTGAAGAATTTTATGTGTGGCTGTGTTGCTACCTCAAGTACATAGAAGAGAATTTAAGGCTAAGTTGAGAAGAAGTAGCAGAGGACAAGGAGAACCCATGAAGCCCAGTGGGGTTCCAAGTCCTGACTTAGTCACCTGGAAGAAAGCCTGGCAGCCTCCCACTCCACCCAGGCCCCCAGGTAACTGGGCGTGTGCATTTCATTCTTTCCTTTGGATTTTCTTTTTCCTTCCAGCAAACTTATCTCCTTTACTCCTTGTCCCAACTCCCAGTATTATCTTCCTTCTTACATAGATTAACTTGTTTTTTGTGAAAAGCCTTCGACTGCTGTCCAAACGAGAGAGAAACCATGAATGAGGAGAGTATTTAAAAGGGCAAATCAGGTTATTAATGAAGAATAGCCCAGCCCACCATGTGGAGGATGAGTGGGTGAGCAGTTGGGAAACATGGGTTAGGGAGGAGGTGGTGAGAACAACCCCAAAACCCCACAAAAATGGGTTTAGGTGAAATGCTGTTCAATAAAATACATGTTTGCTTTGCTGTCAAGTTCAAAATAGAGTTAATTAAACTAATTAAATAATAAACATAATTTTCAATCCATCCCATCCCATACTTTCCAACTCTCCCACCAACTCTTTGGTCAAGTCCGATCATTTCTTTACGAATTTGCTTTGTTACTTTGTACCTTGCCCTTTTAGCATGCAGAAGTTTTTAATATTTATGTAATTAAAACCCACCTGTTTTTCTCCTCTGTTTTCTGCCTTTGATGGTATAAAGAGCCCATCTACATTCCACTAATATTTATTTACCACTGGTTCCTTTCTGGTTTTATTCTTCTTACACTATCTCTTTCATTAGGTATTTACTACAAAAGTGTAGTGAAAAATTTCTTTAAAATGACCCATACCTTAAAAAAAAAATATCTTTACCATGTTAACTAATTATTTGTGTTCTCTAGTCTTTATTTGATTTTTTAAAAAAGTTTTAAAAAAACAGCTTTTATTTATTGAGCATAATTTGTCAGGGGCTTTATAAACATTATCTCTTTTAATCTATACAACCCTGTTAAATAGATACTACATACTCATTTTATAGAAGAGGCCTCTGTGGCTAAAAGGTTAAGAGCCTATCAAGGTTAGCTAGTTGCCAGTAGGCATTCTATAGTTTGAACATATGCCTGTCTAACCTCTAAATCTACATGTATACTATAAAATAATCTGTATTGTTTGCTTGTACATGTACAGTATAAAACAATTTGTATTCTGCTTGCTTAATGTTGAGTGTGATAGCTGTGATAATGTCATGTTTATACATAGTATCCATAATCATTTTGATACAGTACATTATTCAACACAGGAATGTACCATAATTTAACCATTTCCCTTTATCAGAAGTTTGAACTGCTTCCCAGTTTTCTGTTACATGTAACACTGAAATGACAATGATTGCTTTTATCTTTCTAAACTATTTCCTTAAGATAAATGCCACAGAATTATATTACTATGTCAATTGATATGAACATTTTTTTTTGAGGCTGTTAATTATATTATGTCAGGTTGCCTTCCGTAAATGTTATACCTATAAGACTTAGGGTTGTATTGATTTTTGCACAGACCAACTTTAGATGATTCAAAAAAAATAGATTTTAACCTTTCTCAAAAACTGTTTTCCTTTCTTTTATAATTCAGGCTTACATCTGTAGATTAAAATCAGAGATTAGGATGGAAATTTTCTAGCGCAACCCCTTTATATCAAACATGAAGACAGTAAGACCCAGAAATTATATGACTTGGCTGTGTTCACCTGCCTGGTCCAATCAGAGCCAGACATTCTACTTACTCATATTGGCCATTTAGATATGTCTACGCTGCACAAAAGCAATGATAATGCTAGTATCTGCCCTACTACATGTATAATGCATATTTCACTTTCAAATTCCTCAGAGGTTAACAGATTTGGCACTAGCCATGCCTCCTCTCTAATCTTAAACTCTTCTCAGAACTACAGAGTATACCTTGAATTACTTCAACAATCTTCAAAGTAGTTCAAGATTTGAAGTTTCTGTAGTGGAGAGGGAATGAATGAACAAAGCTAAGATTTATGACAAGCACTTTTCCCCCTTCAAGACCTGAAAGAACATGTATAGGCCAAAATCAAAACACAAGTGCTAAGTAAGGGCCTCCTTGACCCTACGCAGGAGTAGGTACACTAGGTAATCACATCCCCCAGGTGTTTATAATCCAATTAAGAGACGAAAATATCAAGGCCAGAGAGATCTGAGAAAGTATGTGGAGTTCAATCATCTCATTTTAAAGAGTATGAAGGGAAACAGAAGGGGTAGTGACTTCCCAAGGACACAGCAAAAGGTAGTAAAAGGACTTACGTGGTTAGTCTAGAAGTCTAGAGAATAAGTGCAGAGATAGGCGGAGGAAATGTTCCAATATACTATGATCAAAAGACACTGAAAGGAAAATAAAGACCCAAAATATGAAAACATGGAAAAAAAAATCACAGCTCTGCTACATGAATGGGAAAGCCCAATAACTGATTCAGGTTAGCTGTTTTCAAAACCACTATTAAGTAAGTCCTCTGCAGTAGCATCTCTGAAAATTTCATCTATGTAGGCTCCACACATGAACACATTGAGGAGAGCTCCTGAAGCAAATGAAAATAAACAGAAGAGCCCATACATTCTGACTTCCCAGCATTCAGCATTCAGCATCTGACTTCCCTGAATCCATCTGCCCTTTGGATCTCTCACCCATGGAAGGATACCAATGCAGCTCACTCTAAGATATTTTAGCCTTTGCATATATTATCCTCCTCACTATTTAAGAGCTGCGCAACAGCTCTGTGTAAGAAGCTGTGCAACATAGGATATTATTGAAATGGTCTGAGGAAAGGAGAGTGAGATTTTGATTATCACGTGAAAACTCCTTCTCTCCAACTTAGAGGATTTAGTAACATAAAAGAAGTTCAGGACAAACAAATCCATATTATAAGTTACAAATTAATTTTTAAATATATGTGAATGGTAATTAAAGTATCAGAAGGCTATGTATCTTGTTAGTTTAATGGAAGAAATAAATTATGAAGTAAGCTCAAAGAACGGGTGATAAAATCAAGTTAGTGGGGCCAGGGTTAGACTTTTCTTTTTTTCAAAAATTGACACAAGAGTTTTCTGAGCTCATCATGGTGGCGGCAGGCGCATCCTGGACCTGCAGAACCACGCCAGCGATTTGGGGACCTGCACCTGCCACAGAAATGCTCTGCCAGCAACCGCATCACCCGCACCAAGGCTCATGTGTCCACCCAGATCGACAGGACCGAGGATGACAAGATGACCGGCAGGTTCAACGGCCAGTTCCCGCTACCTGTGGGGCCATTCGCGGGATGGGTGAGTCAGAGATTCCATTCTCTGACTGATCAAGGCCAACAGCATCGTTTCAAAGAACTTCTGACTGGAGAGGATCATGGGTGTGGAATATTTATCCTAAATACATAGTACTCTCCTCCTCCATCCAAGAAAAAAACAAATACCAGGAAAACTGCACATAGGAAGGTGAAGTACTGTTCTGTGAAACTTTTCAGTTATAACTATGTACATATTTACTGGGTTGTAAAACAAAATACTTTTTTTTTTTTTTTTTTTTTTTTTACTGTGAGTCACTTTCAAAAAAGTATGAGAAACAAGTTTAAAAGGACACTGGGGCACCTGGGTGGCTCAGTGGTTGAGTGTCTGCCTTTGGCTCAGGTCGTGATCCCGGGGTCCTGGGATTGAGTCCAGCGTCAGGCTCCCTGCATGGAGCCTGCTTCTCCCTCTGCCTGTGTCTCTGCCTCTCTCTCTGTGTCTCTCATGAATAAATAAATAAAATCTTAAAAACAAAAAAGTTTAAAAGGACATTATGTAAGTAACAGAAACAAAATGATATATGCTGTAATGTCTCATGGCTTAGAGAAAAATACTCACCTATAATAGTGAATGAATGCAGGGAAAACAGTATGAAAAGAGAACCGAAAAGAACACACCAAAATCAGTTCAGTGCTGAATTCCCAATGCCAAACATAGTGTACTCAACAAACATCAGTGGGGTGAATGAATACACAATTACAGAATTAATTAACTATAGGAGGATGGAAGCCACGGGGGATTGGAAGAATATAATCAATATGCTGTATGAAAAAAAAGATTCATTTTACAGCAGCTTTAGAGAAATGTACAACTGAAGGGCATTTTACATACGTATATGTGAGTGGGTGCATGTATTTGTGTACCTACACTTGTATATGCCAAACACGCTCTTATCCCTATGAAAGAGCTCACAGGCACACGTAAGTATGGGTAAAGCTTGGATCATACACAAATCTGATCAGAGCCCTTCTTAATCGGCAATCCTGAAGGAAGGACGTTAGAAGGACAGAGGGTAGGGGCCCCTGGGTGGCTCAGTGGTTGAGCGTCTGCTTTTGGCCCAGGGCGTGATCCCGGGGTCCTGGGATCGAGTCCCGCATCAGGTTCCCCGCAGGGAGCCTGCTTCTCCCTCTGCCTGTGTCTCTGCCCCTCTCCCTGTGTCTCTCAAGAATAAATAATCTTTAAAACGAACAAACAAACAAACAAAAGACAGGGCAGTAGGACAGGTGAATGAATGGTAGGATCTGACTGTTTTATCGTGAACTATCAGACACATCTCCTCGGTGTCTTTCCTCCTACTAGAGAGGGTCAGGAGGGCAGGGCTGTTTGGCTCAGGCAAGCCACCGATGAAAAGAAAGGATTTCTGTACTTCCTCCGTTCCCCCCCTGCAGCACTGTGAGGATGGGCTAAAGAAGATGCCACGACAGCAAAGCCAGCTGTTTCCCCCAGAAAACGTGACCGCCACGGGGATCTTGGTGGCGAGAAAGAAAGCACAGCCAGGGCGTTTGCTCAAATGCTCGGGTCGGGAAGAGGGCTTGAAGAAAGCTCCCACCCCCGGCATCCACCTCCTGGACTCCTCACCATCTGCATGGCTTCCTCCATCCACTTTTCGGTCTCCTCGGCCGTCACAGGGCACGCGCCGCCGACGCGAGACGGCGCGGACGCCGCCTTGGCCTCCATCCCGCACCCGGGCCGCGGCGCTCGGCGTCGGACGCGGGCAACGGAACGCGGAGAACGCGGGCCGCCGTTTCCAGGGAAGTCGAAGGGCGATGCACTCGGGAGCGCATTCTGGACGGACCCGGGTGGGCGGGGCCGGGGCGCGTGGACCGCGACGCGGCGGCGGCGGCGGCGGCGGCGGCGGCGGCGGCGGCGGCGACAGAGAGCGCAGCGGCTCGGCTGTAGTCCACGCCCCCTTCCCGCCCCGGTGACAGTCTCTGCGGAGAGTCGCGTTTGTGGTTTCGGAGAGCAGCCAGCGGGACGACGGCTGCTCGTTCGGGCCTCGCGACGAGGAAACCGTTTCCTGGCGAACTACCCGCCACCCCCCGCCCCGAGGCAGCCCGTACCTTGAGGGCCTGAAGATGCTGAGATCTACGTGGAATTTTCTAAAACGTCATAAAAAGAAATGCATCTTCCTGGGCACAGTCCTCGGAGGTGAGTGACAGCCGTCTCGGAAGGGGAGTTTGGGAGAAAGGGGAGGAAGAGAAGTGACTGTCTTCTAGAATAGGGGCCGGGCGACTGCCGTCCCGGATATACAGAGGAAACCGGGCGCCGGCTGACCAGCCTCCGAGGCTCTGCGCGTCTCTGCCCGTCTCTGCAGTTGTGGGATCTGGGTCTTTTGTCCTGGACGCTGCCGCCTCCACTGTTTCTCTCTCTCCCATCTTTCTCCTCGGACGCCGGGAGCACCCACTGCAATGAAGTTTCTGTTTCAAGACACACATTTTTTAGATTGCTGCTTTCCTGTGAGATTGTTCGTTTCTGTGTGGCACCCTCGATATTTCGTTTGGCTTCCATCCTTCTCAGAAGTTTCCTAATACCCCAGGAGAGTTACCTAAAGCCTGCACCTGCAGTGTGGTTGAAAGCTAGTTTGGATTTTTTTTTTTTTTTTTAAACCGCACGGTTAGACTCAAGGGCTGGAAGATACAGACAGAGAAACATTTTAGTTCCGTTTCTGCTTCTTTAGAATAAAAATTAGGCAGTGAAGAGTCTGGGAGATGCTGTGCAGTCTTGCTCAGCATCGTCAAGGTTAGGATCAGTGCCCATCTAGCCGGCACAACTGAGTTGCACAGGCTGAGAGGACATTTAGAAACAGGATCCCCGTGAGAGCCTTTGCCCCATATGGCGCTCGTCAGGTCAGAAGTGCAGAGATTTGAAGGAGAGAATAAAAAGCCTCTTGAGATACAGAAGAGAATGTAGGAATGTTTTTTTATTTTATTTTTATTTATTTACGATAGTCATACAGAGAGAGAGAGAGAGGCAGAGACACAGGCAGAGGGAGAAGCAGGCTCCATGCACCGGGAGCCCGATGTGGGATTCGATCCCGGGTCTCCAGGATCGCGCCCTGGGCCAAAGGCAGGCGCCAAACCGCTGCGCCACCCAGGGATCCCCGAGAATGTAGGAATGTTAAGAGGGAATTTTTAGCATTTGATTTTTTTTTTTTTTTTTAGAAATACTAATACTAACTACATGCTTTGGTTGCAGAAGTACTTAAAAAACAAGAACAGAAGTTTTCTAAAGAATTTGGTTGTTTTTCTCTTACTCTCATAGTCTGTTGTCCCATATAATTCGAAATTCACCGTACTTCTGGCCTTGGTAACTCAGATCCGTTGATTCTTGAGAGTTTGAAATCAGCTTGTTGATGAGGCAAGGAGAGTCTCCCTCATCTCTGAGGTCTTTGGCAAATCAGTACATTTTTATTTGAATTTTTACATAATTCTTTGAGAAATCCTTTACAAATAAATTTTCCAGTATCTTCAGTCACTGACGTCTAACATACAGATCTCTCTCAACTTACAACGGAGTTATGACCCGTTGAAAAGTATACAGTAAGTTGAAAAGTACATTTAACACAGCTAACGTACCAGACATCATAGCTTAGCTTAGTCTAGCCTATCTAAAATGTGCTAGGAACACTTAACTTTAGCCTGCAGTTGGGCAAAATCATATATAACACAAAGCCTGTTTTGTAATGAAGTGTTAATATCCCCTGTAATTTATTGAATACTCTACTGAAAGTGAAAAACAGAATGGCTGAATGATTACAAAATGATTATAAGAGTTGTTTACTCTCCGTGACCGCGTAGCTGACAGGGAACTGGGGCTCACGGCCCCTGCCCAGCATCATAAAAGTAGGTACCACATTTACTAGCCCAGGAAGTATTTTTTGCCACTACTGAAGGAAGGAAAAGAATCTCTCTTTAGCAGTCTCAGAATAACATACCCTCTCGGATTTATTTTTTTATTTATTTTTTGCCATTTACTAGCCCAGGAAGTATTTTTTGCCACTACTGAAGGAAGGAAGATAATCTCTCTTTAGCAGTCTCAGAATAACATACCCTTTCGGATTTATGGAAGAACTTAATGGTAGATTAGACATAATCAATCATAAAGGAAGCAAAAGAATATTCTTAAGCCATGGTTATACATTTTTTTCAAAAATATCTTGAGATCTTTATAATTATAGATTAAGAGAAATGGGAAAGGGGAAAAGAGTTCAGAAGGACAGAAACAGAAAATAATCTTAGTGTTTTATATCTTCCTACAACTATTGCATTTCAATTAACCTAAGATATATATTTATCCAGTGTCTGTAGTGTTTAAGTCAATATGATTGGAAATGCAAGAGTTACAGATTTGTAGGTATCTGCAATCTGTAGGCGAATACCTAGCATTTATTGGGTGCCCAGTGGGCACTGTGCTGAGCTCTTCTATTCAGTGGGCAGGACAAGAGTAGTTCTTGTTTTTCCCATCTTCAAATGTGGGAACTAGAGTCCTAAGAATTGAAGAAACTGCCCAGGACCTCCAAATTAATAATAAGGAAACTAGAATTTGAGCCAGGTGTGTTGGATTCTGAAGTACATTCTCTTTCCACACTATACCGCTCTGCCTTCATGGACTTTATAGTCTGACAGGAATGAAAAACAAGTGTCTTAGTCCATTAAGGCTGCTATCACAAAGTACCACAGACTGGGTGGCTATAAACAACAGAAATTTCTCTCTCACAATTCTGGAGGCTGGAAGTCCAAGATCAGGGTGCCAGCAAGATAGGTGAGGGCCCACTTCCAGGTTGCAGACTTTTTGTACTCTCTCATGGCAAAAAGAATAGCGGTCTCTGTGAAGTCCTGTAAACGCTGTGAAGTGTTTTTAAAAAACACTAATCTCATTCATGAAGGCTCCACTCATGACTCCCAAAGACCTCACCTCCTAATATCATCGCATCAGGCATTAGGATTCCAACATAACGAGTTTTGGGGGGACACAAACATTCTGAGTATAACAACGAGTACTCAAGTAAAATGCAAAACAGTAAGAGAACTGGTAAAAAAAAAAATGGCATACAGATCAAATCAGCAGATAGCATGTGCATTTGAAAAAAAATAGAAAAAAAAGAAAGAAAAAAATAGAAAAGGTCTTCATGGAAGAAGTATATTTTGTCAGGCTTGAAAACTAGGTAAGATATCAACATGTTTGCTCAAACGAATTTGGCAGACTTCTTTTCCACCAAACTTTAGATGGAAAAAAACTAAAACTTTGAGTTATAAGCCTTACATAGGCATTTCCTGCATTTTGGAAGAGTCACTGCTTTAGACTAATTTGTGCAATTTGACCAGTTTATGAAATGTAAACTTTGGCCTGAGGATTCTTTACACTTGTAAAAATTAAAGACTCTAAGCAGCCTATAAAAATTTGTTTCTATTAACAGTTGCCATTTTAGAAATAAAAACCAATGAATTTTTAAAATATTAAGTAATAATAGTAAACCCATTACATATTAACACAAATATTATTTTCAAAAAAAAGTAGTGAAAAGAGTGGCATCATCTTACACTTTTGCAAATCTCTTTACTGTCTGGCTTAATTGAAGAAAGTTAGATTCCCATCTCTTTGCATCCAGTCAGTTGCATTACCACATGTCATGTAGCCTCTGGATTACTCTGCTGTATGAGAGAATGAGAATGAAAAAGACAAGAACTACAGAAATAGTTTTGATTCACAGATTCCATGAAAAGGAATTGAACACCTCCATTAGTACCCAAGCCACATTTCCAGAATCACCACTCAGGAGAAAATGTTGCAGAACAGAGAATAACCAGGTTATATTTATTGACTTCCTGATTTCTAAAAATCTCAGAGCAGTGACTTATAATTTATATCATAACCCCTGTAATTCTTGGTCTCTTTAGTCTTCCATTTATTCATTCTTTCATTGAACTAATATTTGAATGAAAGTTAGTGCCTCCTCCCACTATATCAGGCTCTGGAAATACAAAGGAACAAGACAGTTCTTGACTTTGAGGAACTCGTGGTGTTGTCTGGAAAGCAGAAATGGAAATAAACAAAAGTGAATATGGTGATAATATTAATAGTACCATTAATAGAGGTGGTGCTGTGGGGACTTAGAGAAATAAATGTGAAGGTGTCTGGCAGGCTTCACTCAAGAATTCACTTGAGTCAAGTACAGCTAACAAAAGAGAATGGAACATAGCAGGAAAAAGGGATGTTCAACAGATTCAGATATATCAGTTATGATGAATCAGTGTATTTCACTATGGCTAAGAACAGGGAACAAATGGAGAGTGGCAAAAGATGTATTTGGAAAACTAGCTGGAGTGCAGATTGTGGAGGGCTTTGTATACTGTGCCATTCCACTGAATCTGGACATTATCTTGGGCACCAGTGCTTTTCAACTTTCCTATGATAAAAATCACTTAAATGGGCTTAATAAAAAGAGTTTTCTTTCCCAGAGTCTGATTCTTTTGGTCCAAACCAGTTCATTTATTCATCAGTTATCCAGCAAGTATTTATTGAGCTCCCATTGTGTACCAGCAGTCAGTACTGTACAAGACAGGACACTTGGGGGGTGTTTTCAAGGAACTCCCTTAAAGGCTACATTTTTAACAGATACTTCAAAGTAATTCTGTTGTAAGTGGAACAGGGAATCCACATTGAGAAAAGATGGCAGGGTGTTGAAGAATTCTAAGCACAGGAATATGTAGTCAGATTTAAGTTTTAGAAAATCACTTGGCATTCTAAAAGATGGATTAGAAAGGTTTGAGATTAGAACAAAAGAGGAGAAGCTGAAAACCAGTTCTTAAGACCATTATTCAGAATCTGAATGAAGACAGTGACAAAGAGGTCGGAGTAAAGTGGCAAAATTTAGAAAATATTTCTGAAATAGAATCAGACTAGCAGGAATTGGTGTTTTGTTAGATTTTGAGTGATAATAATAATGATATTCAAACTCATTGAAATTATTAACCTAGTAATAATCTAATAAGAGTTATTTTTCTGGGATTTTCATCCAAGAAAAGAAGATGACAACAACTAAAAGATAGTTTGAAAAAAAACTGAATTTATAATGTGGAAAGACTAGAAGATATTTTGCTTTACCAGCAGTGTTCTGAAAGGAAACCTCAAAACATTTTACGTTTATTTGGTGGGGAGGGGTGGTTAGAGAAGGAGAGGCTGAGGGAGAGAGACTCTCAAGCAGAGTCCTCACTGAGTGCAGAACCTAACTCAGCTTGATCTCACAACCCTGAGATCATGACCTGAACAGAAACCAAGAGTTGGACACTTAACAGACTGAGCCACCTAGGCACCACAATTTCTGATTGTTCCCATTATTCATAAATAAAGACAATAGCCACAGAAGAAACTTTTAAAGCAACTTATAATTCCAGCCTTTCATTTTATGGATGGAGAAATTTAGATGCAGAGAGTGGAAGAGGCTTGCTCAACCTAGATGGTGCCACAACCATCAGTATCTACTGTCTTCAGGTCAGATTGAGGCAGCCTGTCGAGTATAAATATGATCCTGAACTCCATATTTTAGCTAATGAATGCTCTGCCTTCATACTTCTTTTCCTAGGGAAGAAAAAAATCAGAATTTATTAATGTTAGGAATTGAGAGCTTGGCTAAATTTGACTTTATGTAGGAACTTCTGTGCTAAGTAAAAAAACAAAACAAAAAAAAAACAAAAAAACCCCATATATATATATATATAGGTTGTGGGATTTTAGCTTAATTTCATGTATTAGTTTGCTAGTGTTGCCATACTGAAGTACCACAAACTGGCTTAAGCAACAGAAATGTATTACCTCATAGTTCTGGAGTCCAGAAATCCAAGATCAGTGTGTTGGCAGGATTTGTTCCTTATGAGGGCTTGTTAAGAGAAGGATCTTCTACAGGCCCCCCTCCTTGGTCTATCGATGGTTATCTCTTCTGTGCCTTTATATCATCTTCCTTCTATGCGTCTGTGTCCACATTTCCTCTTACCAGAATACCAGTCATGTTGGATTAGAGCCTACCCTAATGACTTCCTTTTAACTTGGTTACTTCTATAAAGACCCTATATCCAGATAAGGTCACATTCTGAAGTAGGGGAACTTCAAAATATGAATGAGGGGGAGGGGCAGGTAGTGACACAGTTCAATCCATAACAATTCCTTTTCTTTTAGCTTTAGTTAGAATATACTACTCTTATCAAAGAAATATAGTAGTTCCTGAAAAACTTTTACCAGACACTGTTGAGAATCTAATAAAAGCAGTATATCTTTTCTCCTGGAAAACACATTTACTAGTCATTTATTGTTATTCCAGAAAATTCTTAGCTACAGAAAGGTCATGTAAAGTGTTTCACTTCACATTATTATTATTTGAGAAATTATAATCATTGTACACATAACTTTAAGCAATCTATTGTGCAAATAAAATACAAGCAAATTGCCTATCAAAGAGTTACTTTATGAAATACAAGTCAATTTCTTCATACTTTGTGAAATACAAGTCAATTTCTTCATTCTGTTGGTATTATGGGAGTGTCATCTATTTTTTGAGAGTAGATTACAAGAAAGGTAGCTATAAAGCCACTTATATAACTTCCATTTGCTGTTTAAGCATGATTATAATACATGTATTTGCATACAAACATAGCAGTCATAGTTTATTTCTGTCTAGTTATTTGTAGGACATACCTGGTAGTGAATTATTATTTTAAATAATATATGTTATCAGTTCATCTATAATGCTTATATTAGTGAAAATATTTCAGAATGTGTGTTTGCTTTGCAGTTCCTAAGGGCTGTCTCGTCCCCACTTGTGACAAACAGACCAAATCAAATTGTTGAGATCCTGCACAGTTCTTAGGTTCTTTTTGATAGATACTGAAGGCTACAAACAGTTGGAAATAGGTGAGGATTAGTTATTACCTTACAAATTTGTTGCTGGATCATAATGGAACAAATGCTGGCACACATAAAAACATCCTATTAGCCAACATAAATAAAGCAATGTCATAACTTGTTTTATAAGCTTATTGAAGTCCCAGCGTCCTCTTTCAGTGCTGCAACAGAACCTTGCATAAAAGATTTGCCTGAAGACAGGACACCTGGATGGCTCATTCGGTTAAGTGTCAGACTCTTGGTTTTGGCTCAGGTCATGATCTCAGGGTCCTGAGGTCTACATGCTGTGTGTAGAGCCTGCTTGGGATTTGCTTTCTCTTTCTGCCCTTCTTCCCCTTCTCTCTCTCTCTCCCTCTCTCTCCCTCTCTCCCTCCCTCCCTCTCTCTCTCTCTCTCTCTCTCTCTCTCTCTCTCTCTCTCTCTCTCTTTCTCTCTCTCTCACACACAAAAGATTTCCCTGAAGCAAATGCAACAGTATTCCAGTTGTAGGATTCTACTGGCCATTTGGTTAACTCCTTTGACTAAGAATCATCCTAATTAGCTGAGGATTCAAGGCTAAGTCCTCTTTAAGGATGAAGGACTTGCTAGAATCATATGTTCTTGCTCAAATGAGTATTACTAAGATCTTTTGGCTAATCCAGTGTCTTAAACACCACTAATTTAATCTATGAAAATCCATTTCTGATATTCATTATGCTAGATAAAAGTTAGTTGAAGTACTTAAACCTTGGAGTGTGGCTTTTGGTCAAATGCTAACCAACCACTCTGGAGTGTTTACATTCCCCAGTAGGACAACTGACTGCCCCTGGGGCATAGACCAGAATGTGCACATTTATATCATCTGCCTATGCTGAAATGTGTTCAACAAAATTATAGGCCTCATGACCCTCCCCCATATTTTTATGCTGTAGTGTTATAATGTAGGAATTTCTGTACCTCCTTCCCTCTCCCTTTTCCACTGAAGATACTAGTTCTCGATGTCTGCCTACCTACCTTTCTTGTAATCTTTTTTAAAAAATTTTATCGTAAAATAAATAAATAGAAATTTTATCTTACATTTTTAAAAAGTATTATATGTTGACTGAAGAAAATATGGAGAATACAAAACAAACAGAACAAAAAGATCAGCTGCTTTCCCACTATTCAACAATGATTATTGTTTATTATATGCTAAAACCCATCTGTTTTTTCTGTATATCTACTTCTGTTAAAAAGAGAAACATCCATATTTTATTTTATAACCTAACAATATATATGGATATTTCCTTGAGCCGTTAGCTAATTTAGCCATGTGGTTTTTAACAGCCATGTAAGATTTCATAAGATTATTGTATGGATAGACCATAATTTATTTAAACAATCCCTATTGCTGGACACTTAGAATATCTCTAGCTCACTATTAAAAGCACTGCCAGGGCAGCCTGAGTGGCTCAGCGGTTTAGCACTGTCTTCAGCCCAGGGCATGATCCTGGAGACCCAGGATAGAGTCCCACATTGGGCTCCCTGCATGGAGCCTGCTTCTCCCTCTGCCTGTGTCTCTGCCTCTCTCTTTCTCTCTCTCTCTCTCTCTCTCTCTCTCTCTCTCATAAATAAATAAAATTAAAGCATTGCCAGACTTTGTATACATAATTCGTTTCAGGTCCCTTCAGACCTAGTATTTATGTACGTACCCATCATTGGCTATTAAAATGGCAATCTCCCTTTTCTTCTATTTAGGTCACAATTCCTATACAACTCTTTAATGTAGATTTTTAAAGGTTGTGATTGTTAACTTTTCATTGATATAAACCTTATATTTGGATGAAGCAGGTTAAAAATACGGTTTGGAATTTTTAGTATTCTACTTAACTAGATTAATATACTTGCTTATTTTAAAAAATAATTTTAGGAGTGTATATCCTGGGAAAATATGGACAGAAGAAAATCAGAGAAATTCAAGAAAGAGAAGCTGCAGAGTACATTGCTCAAGCAAGACGACAGTATCATTTTGAAAGTAACCAGAGGACTTGCAACATGACAGGTAAGGCAAAGAGAAATATTTATACACGTATAAAGTTACTTGATGGTTTATATTAAGTTACATACCTCTAGGACCAAACTTTAAAATCAGTATAAGTCAATGGTAAATACTTGTTCATTCATTTTATTTATTCATTTAGCAAATACATGGGGTACCCAGTGCCAGGGAAACAGAAGGTGAACAATTAAAACAAATCTCTGACCTTTAGAATTTATATGCTAGTGAGAATAACAAATAACATATAAATAACTTCAGGCAGTGATGGCTGCTATAAGGAGAATAAAGTTGTGTGAGCAGTGGGGATGTTCTTTAAGAAATGGCAATCAGGAGAGTCAGGCCTCTTCGAGGAGGTGACAATTGAAAAGAACCAAATGATTCAATGGAGGGAGCCATGCAAAATGCCTTCCATGGGAACAGGCTTTACACTTTCAAGAGATAGCAAAAGGGTATGTAGCTAGAGTGATGAGCAATGGAAGTACTAGGAAATTAGGCTGCAAGGATAGGCCTGATTTCATTAGGCCTTTTATCTCCAGTAAAAATTCTTAAGTGTGTTACATTTACCATAGCACAGTAGTATACACTAATTAACATAAATTAGTGATAATAATTTAACCTCCAGAGCTAGAAACCTACTGAGAGAATGCCATAACAAAACCAACTGCCCATATTTGAAGAGAACAGGCGTTAAAACTGGCATAACCCCTTAAAGAATTAGTTCTCAAATCCATGTCAAACCTATTTTTCTTTGTTATTGTTTAAAGTTTAATCTTTTCTCTAACACTTCTTTCAAGAACAGGTAATTTAGAAAGTTTGTAAAGGTAAGTTCTCTTTACTTACTTTTGAAAGAATTTTTTTCTGAGTTTAAAAGACTTTATTTTTAGTATAATAGTACTTCATTCTATAAAGCAAATAGTAACCATAAATACTAAATGTAATGATAACTCAGATAAAACACATTAAAGAGGGCACATGATATAATGAGCGCTGGGTGTTATGTGCAACTGATGAATCACTGAACTCTACCTCTAAAATTAATAATACACCAAATGTTAATTAATTGAATTTAAATAAAAATTTTTTAAAATACAGCTCAGTTCTTGGGTTTTCCATGTAATATCCCTGTATCTTTGGGCAAATCTAAATCTCAATTCTCTCTTCTGTAAAATGATCATCATAAAACCCACTTCATAAATGTTTTGTAGAATGTTGGGAGATAATGCATATAAAGTGTTTCATGCATAATAAATACTCAGTAAGTGATAACTTTAAAATTACATAATTCTTGGGGCGCCTGAGTGCCTCAGTTAGGTAAGCATCTGACTCTTGATATTAGCTCAGGTCTTGATGTCAGGGTCATGAGTGCAAGTCCTGTATTGGCCTCTGTACTGGGTGTGGAGACTACTTTAAAAAAAAATGACATAATTCTTTAAGTTGATATTCAGCATTCAGTGAAGTGATGCTACCAAGGACATTTTAATTAATTTTTAGAAAATAAGTACAGTCCATTTCTGGTTATTCCTCAAATTTTCAGAAAGTAGAAAAAGGTAGTCTAGAGTCTGAAAGTACATCTCAATTTGACATGGACCCTTGTGTCAGTTTAGGTCCCCTGGGAAACAGATACTAAGATGGGATTAGATGCACAAGAGATATATTGGGGGAAACACCCACAGAAAGCACAGGAGAGGGAGCAGGACTCTAAAGGCAAGGAAAGCCTTTAGACCATAGTGCAGGCCTTATATGTGACTGGAAAGAGAGAAGGAAAGAAGGTCAGATAAGAATCTCAGCCTACAGCAGTTTCAAGAAAGTTTTGGCAGGCCACTGGGAATTCCTTGAGCCAAAGTTCCCTGGTAGACAAGCCCCCCAGGAATGGACCTGTGTTAATATAGCTACAGACCACTCTCATTGACTGAGAGTGGTGCAGACATGGTAATGGATCCAGAGGGGTGGCAACTGGGGCTGCCAGTTAACCCTGCCCCTCCTAGCAGACTTGGTGGCACATTTCCATGACCATCACAACCCTTGGATTGAATAAATAGCTACATTTAGGTAATTAAAAATAAAATATTATAGGAGCCAAATACAGGTTCACTGGAAAACTTTGCAAATTAACTTTCTGGTATGCTTTGATAATGGAGTTACAAATCATATGATTAAATTCCTATCCTTTTGAATAAGATGCAGTGGATATACTAGAAAAATTTAGTACATATAAAAGGTAAACATAGCTAGTTATTTTTTCACCCGAAAAGTTGACCCCAACTTGAAAGATAGTATCTAATAAAATGTTTCTGTGTTCTGCACAGTGGTTTTATCTTCTTCTTGACTTTACTAAGGATTCAGGAGAGATACTTATTAAATTTATAGATAACAGTGCTAGGCTGGGATAAATGAATTGTTCTGCATTAAAAGTCAGTTGTACAGATACACAATTATCTAAGCTTGTTTGCGTGCAGGATATATAAGTAAGAGTTGGGAATTCTAGTTGACCATAAGCTCATTATAAATAGTCTGATATGACTCCTAGAAATACTAATTTAGTCTTATACTACAGTAATCTGTGATTCAGATCAAAGGTAGTTGCATCATGCTCTGGAGTAGTAAGAGTATAGGTCCATTTCTGCCTCTCATATGTTAATAAGATATAAACTGGATGAGTGCCTGAGAGGCAGTTGGTTAAGCACCCAACACTTGGTTTCAGCTCAGGTCGTGACCTCAGGGTAATGAGATCCAGCCAGGTCAGGCTCCATACTCAGCATGGAGTCTGCTTGAGGCTCTCTCTCTCTCTCCCTCTGCCCCTCCCACTCATTTTCTCTCTTTCTCTCTCTCTTTCTCTCAAATAAATAAATCTTCAAAAAAAAAAAAAAAGGAAGAAGAAGATACAAACTAATGTGTGTCAGAAGAGCCCAAATAAAGTTAATAAAACAGGCTGACACTGAGCATTCTTATGGCAAAGAAGCCCTGTTCTAAATGCTTTATACATCTCAGTTAATCCTTACAACAATTCTATAAGGTAGATCCAATGTTATCCTCAGTTTACAGAAAAAACGGAGGCACTGAGAGTTTAAATAACTTGCTCAGGGTCATACAGATTCATAGCTGGTGAAGGGTTGTCTTGTGCTTTGTGGTTGGACTGGGGGGTGTTTATCATGGAGACCAGATAGCTAAAGGAAAACATGAATGCTGTATTCAACTAGATACAGAAATATATTTTTCAGTGTTTAAAAAAAAAAATGCCTGGAAGGGAAGAATTGACTTGTTTTGGGTTGAATAGCCAAAGGGGAAAATAAAAAGCTGTTATCTCTCAGAATTGTTAAAGAGACTCCTCTCAAATCATGTTGTTTTACCACATAATCTTTAAACTAGTTCCTTACTGACTCCATTTCCTGAATGTAGGACTCCAGCCTTAATTTTTCTTGGTGGGATAACATACTACATTTGGGCTAGGTATATGTACCAAATACATTAAGAGATAAGCTACCTTTTACATTGGCTCTGAGCTGTGACTTTTTAATGGTCTAAATGGACTTGGGTTATTTAATCATACAGCTTGAGGAAATACACTGAAGCTGCATAGTCCAGCACTGAAATAAATGTCTAGAGTAAGCTAAAAGCTAAATGTTGTATAGAAAAAAATAATATGGATTTTATAATTAATATGTCTTATATAGTCAAGAAATAAAAATAATACACTGAAGTTTTCCCTTTTAGAATGTGGTATTTGTGATCTCTTGATATTTCTTCATTTTGTTATCATTACTTATTTAGTGTTAGAAATTCATTTTAAATTGGTGTATGTGCATTTCTCCAACATTTATTATACCATGCAGTAGCCGTAAATAAAGCAACTTGTATAAATTAGATACAATCTTTTTTCTATAGAGCACTATGGCTTATTTTATCTTTATGTTATTCTTGGAAGTTAGGGGCAGTAACCATTGGCAAAACCAAAACTACAACTCAGCAGTTCTTAATTCCCAGCCTGATGTGCTTTGTCTAAGTTACAATAAGTGCTTATTGCTTTGTAATATTTAATAAACTTTTCCAAAAATAGAAATATAAAATAAGAAAAATAAAGATAAAAATGTTGTCTTGATCATTTAACTCTCAGAAATAAATTTATTGTAAAAATAATTTGGAGAGTACAGAAGAGAAAAAAGTTGATTATTGGCAATTTCCAAAGACCACCATTATTAACATCTCAGAATAATTTTCATTCTTCCTTGTATGTGTACTTGTTTACATTACGTGATCATAATACACATATAATTCTGTTCACTTAACATAAGCAGAGAAATGGTTTATTAGTATAAACTCAGTTTTTGCTATTCTTAATAGTAATAATATGAAAACTCTAGCCCTGACATTCCCTCCTAACCCTTGCTAGTCCCTAGTCTTATAGCCTAAAACAATGTGCATTTCTCAGTGAAAGGCAGTCATATCACTTGTGAACTTTTTTATTTTCTGTTTGCATTACAGTACTGTCCATGCTTCCAACATTGAGAGAGGCCTTAATGCAACAACTCAATTCTGAGAGCCTAACAGCTCTGCTAAAAAACAGGTAAATGCAAGTTAACATGATTTTTTGTTTATTATACAGGGCACTTAAATTTATAGAATGAATTGAAATATTGTTCAAATATCTTTGTTTCCTTATTTTTCTTTCTAATTGATGCTTGTAATATAGAGAGTCATTTAGAAAATATAGTGACTCTGTCACTGAATTCATTTTGTTTTATCTATTTATTTTTGCTCTACCTTGATGCACAAAGTATTTAGGTCAACAATATGTGTATTCTGGTTTACATATAAATAGATCTTAATTCACTTTGACCTTTTTCAGAAATTTAATTATTGAGTGCTTATAGAATGTGTTCCTGAACCAGATTTTTTTTAAAGATTTTATTTATTTATTCATATAGAGAGACAGAGAGAGGCAGAGACACAGGCGGGGGGGAGCAGGCTCCATGCCGGGAGCCCGACACGGGACTTGATCCCAGGACTCCAGGATCACACCCTGAGCAAAAGGCAGGAGCCAAACCGCTGAGCCACCCAGGGATACCCTGAACCAGATATTTTAAAAATATGTTAAATATTGTGCTTCTTGAAGAGTTTACAGTATAAGAGGTAAAGCATGTGCACATATATTTTGAATAAGTAAGGCATATGAACTTACATTTTATATTATTAATGAAATGAAGTGCAAATCTAACATGAGCATAAATAATGATAACTACCATGACAGTTCACTGAGCACAAAGCACTTTCACACATAGGACCTTATATATGGAGTATAGTGTGTGTTGGGGTGTTGTAATTTAGTGTGATGCTGTGTTCATTTGAGAAGACTTCCAGAAGAAGATGGCTTCTTATTTTAATGAACAAGATGAAGGGAAATGGTTTCATTAAATAAATTTTAATCATTGTAGCCATACTGAAATACTCACTTTCCTTGTAATAATCTTCCAATAGCCAGGGAGAAGAAAGTACTATTTCTGGAGTGTCTCTCTGTGCTGAGCCCAGTGCTAGATATATTATATACATGCTCCTGTTTGATTTTCACAATATCTTTGTGAAGCAGATATTATCATCTATTTCGCAGAGAGGAATTTACTACTCAGGTTAAATAACGAGCTAGAAAATTTCCTTAAAAGCATTTTCTGTATTCAGAGAACACCTCCCAAAATAACAATGGATTTGTTTACTTGGAATTTTTAAATCTTATTAAAATACAATGCTAGAAATAAAGGGTTTCCCAATAAATTTTATCATTTGTAGAGGATGATGCATTTTCACCACTAAACTTTACAAAGTTTAGTTTATAAATTAGTTGATAGAATTATATGCAGAAGAAACATATAAGCAGATTTATCTTGGTCAGATAAATGCTTAATTACTACCTGTATGTATATACATAAGTAGGGAGTAAAGAAATATGTACCTGGGGCATCTGGGTGGCTCAGTCATTAAGCCTCTGACTTTTGATTTTGACTCAGGTCTTGATTTCAAGATGGTGAGATGGAACCTTGCATGGTGTCTCCACTGGCAGCAAGGAGTCAGCTTCTCTCCTTCTCTCTCTCTCTCTGCCCCTCCCCTCACTTGCACACATATGCGTGCACTCTCACTCTCAAATAAATCTTTTTTAAAAAAAGAAATATGTACATAAGAAATAGGTAAAGAACGAATAGATTTTAATTGTCTTAAGTTTTAGTCTTATTAGGGAGGTAAGACAAATGAAATAAGTGAATAGCACTTTTTTAAAAGCAACATAATAACAGGCACAGTAGATATAGTAACATTCTTCCTTCTTGGTGACTGTTTATTGCAAAGTCCTGTGTTGCCTATGTTTTGGAGGATTGGAGATAATTAAGATCTCTTTCCCTTTAAAACTTTGTCACCCAAAGAAGGGAGTATATGACATAAATTATCATAACTCGAGACATATTGTGTTTAGTCTCTGGTAAAAAGTGAAAGCAAAATGTGGGCAGAAAATATGGGAGGTTCAAGAGGAAAAGGATTTATTTTGATGGATAACCCTGGACAGCTTTCAAGAAGAGGTGTCATTCCTCATTTCTTAGTACACAAAATTTAAATTCTTGAATTTTTTATGATAGGCAATAGTTTTCCTTATTTACTGTTTCCTTTTTAAGTATCTCAATGTTATTTTTTCTTGACTTTTTTTTTTTCTTGACTTTCTTTTGATTTAAAATTCTGTTTGCAGTTTTGGGGGGGGAATATATCCATTTCAAAAATATTTGCATAAAGAATGGCTTGAGCCCTTTACAAAGTGTGTTTAAATGAGGCCTCTAGAATTTAAGTATCTTGCAGGGTTTACACCATCTTGACATCTTGAACCTCTTGTCATCTAGGAAGGGGATAATTGAAGCTCTAGAGTCAGTTCAGTGGCAAAGAAAGATAAGAAGCTAGTAATATCCCACAATTGTAATGGTAACTCAACTTTTTATTAAAATATAAATTTATGGGGATCCCTGGGTGGCTCAGCGGTTTGGCGCCTGCCTTTGGCCCAGGGCGCGATCCTGGAGTCCCAGGATCAAGTCCCGCGTCGGGCTCCCAGCGTGGGGCCTGTTCTCCCTCCTCCTGTCTCTGCTTCTCTCTCTCTCTCTCTGTGTCTATCATGAATAAATAAATCTTTAAAAATATATATATGTATAAATTTATATCCAAATATGATAATAAATATGGGTTTGTAGTTTGTATATCCTTGTGGTTTTTCATTTCATTTTCCTTCTAATTTATTTTTATTGTATTTTACAAGAAAGTATCAGTCTGTGACAGATTGGAAATAAAAAGAAAATTGGTCCTTCCATGTTGGTGGTTTGAAAAGCACTGAACTTCATTTACATGGTACATTCACACAGTGGAGCACTATGCCATGGTTAAAACAAAACAAAAAACAAACAAACAACAAAAAGATGGCTGTTATCTATAATTTCTATGGAATGATCTCCAAGATATATAGTCATATATATCTATATACCTATATCTTTATCTATATATAAAAGGTAAAGAAAAATGTGTATAGTATGCTACCATTTATCTAAGGGAGCAGATATGAATATATATACTTATTTACTTATATAAGGCAAAACAGTGGTAAGTTAAAGTAAAATTTTTTAATAGTCAACTATGAAGAAGAGAGAGAATAAAGAGGAATAGGAACAGACTTTGAATATACTATGCTGTGTAAGTTTGACTTTGGAACCATGTAAATATTTTACGTATTTATAAAACTATATTTAGTGTTTACAGAGAAAGATCTAAAGAGATGGAAAAATAAATCAAATTAACATAAATGTGTAGTTAGGTGTTAGAATTGCAAAGATAGAAAGTATTCTAGGTGCAAAATCCTTAAAACTGGTTAGTATTGCTATTGCTATTCTGAGACTGTTGTTCATAGAGGGAAGGATAAAGGAAATTAGTAATTATAGTCATTTCACAGATTGCTAGTGTGGGCAAAAAGAAATACAGATATGAGATCAAGGAGATGAAGTTAAAAACTTTGTGGTTTGAACACACAATTAGCATAGTCTCCCAAAAGGGCTTAGAAACAGTGACCTATCCAGTAACAATTAAAATCCTTAATTGAAGATTGCAGTCACAGACTACCATTTTCTGCTACAAGGAAGCAAGACTCTTGGAGAAAGGAGGATTTCAGGTCTATAGCAAGAATTGAACAGAATGAACCCAAGGGGTGCCTGGTGGCTCAGTTGGTTAAGTGTCCAACTCTTTTTTTTTTCTTTTTTAAATATTTTATTTATTTATTCATGGAGACAGAGAGAGAAAGAGAAAGAGGCAGAGACACAGGTAGAGGGAGAAGCAGGGAGCCCAACATGGGACTCGATCCCAGGACTCCAGCATCACACCCTGGGCAGAAGGCAGGTGCCAAACTGCTGAGCCACCCAGGGATCCCCTGTCCAACTCTTGAGTTTGGCTCAGGTTGTGATCTCAGGGTTGTGAGATCTAGATCTGCAAAGGGCCCCACACTCAGTGGGGTGTCTGCTTGAAATTCTCTCCCTCTCTCCCTGTTCCTTCCTCTTCCCCTCGTCATGTTCTCTCTCTCTCTCTCTCTCTCTCTCTCTCTCTCTCTCTCTCTAAAATCAATGAATCTAAAAGGAAAAAAAAGATGAACCCAGAACAACTTTCCTTATCAGTAAGCAAGGAATCTATTAAAAACTAATAAGATAATGTAAAAAGGATTGAGGAACCAACCTGAATGTACCCCCAATGTCAAAGATGGGCAATTTGAACATCAATAAGTAACTACCGTGAACTGAAACACCAAATATATATTTAAGTTATGTTGGTAATGATACTTTAAAACAAAAAATACTTTATTATTTACCTTTGAAGGATTACTGACATGCTTCCTTATTTGTGAAATGGTAAATGAGAGAAAGAAACAAACGTTTTTCTTAATTTACATATATGCATATGCTCTGAAGGAGGATAAAGACCAGAGGATATATACCAATACACTAGTTAAAATGGTTGTGGTTTTTTTTTATGATTTTATTTATTAAGAGAAAAAGAAAAACACAGGAGCAGAGGGAGAGGGAGAAGCACACTCGCCTCTGAGCAGGGAGCCTAACAGGGCTCAATCCCAAGACCTCAAGATCATGACCTGAGCTAAAGGCAGGCACTTAACTGAGCCACCCAGGCACCCTGTGAAAATAATTGTTATCATTGGTTACCAAAATGAAAGGGTTTTTTTTGTTTTGTTTTGTTTTTTTTTAAAGATTTTATTTATTTATTCATGATAGTCACACAGAGAGAGACAGAGAGGCAGAGACACAGGCAGAGGGAGAAGCAGGCTCCATGCAGAGAGCCCAACGTGGGATTCAACCCTGGGTCTCCAGGATCACACCCCGGGCCAAAGGCAGGCGCCAAACCACTGTGCCACCCAGGGATCCCTTGTTTTGTTTTGTTTTGTTTTGTTTTGTTTTGTTTTGTTTTTGATATATTTTGTGGGCTTAGTTTTTTGTACTTTTCCTGTAATAAAATATAATTAATTTTAGAGATATAAAGTTCTAAGTTTTCTATTAGATTACCTGATTGCTATTTTTATATTTTCTTCTTTAGGCCCTCAAACAAGCTGGAAATATGGGAGGATCTGAAGATAATAAGTAAGTCTACCTACTCTTTATGACAGCACATCCTTAAAATATTTATAAAGGGAAGTTTTTATTCTTTGTTGTGTAGATGACTCTTTTTTACCTCAAAAAATTATTGTCCACATTCAATAATTCTCATAAAGCAAGTTGAACAATATCTAGTTATAGAAAGTATTCAGGAAATATTAGTGGTGGTAGTATTATTGCTCTGGTTATTGTTATGATGTATAAACTTGTCCTAGACTACATTTGCCCCCATTAAGTACTGGTATGTACAATATGCTTTTTTTTTTTTTTTTTTTAGAGAGAGAGAGAATGTGCACAAGGGGCAGGGAGGAGCAGAATAGACAGTGTATACAGAGTATATACACAAGTCTCAGAACTTTATACTACCAAGTATTCCTGCTTTGCCTATTTAAAATTAAATTAAACCTTTATAGGACCCTGTATTTCAGCCACCCTTATATAATATCAAAGACTTCTACATCCCCATTTCTTCCCTCCCACTCATTCTTTGACACCCTATAGCCTGGCTTTTACTTCTGTCTCTACCCAAACATATCTCATAAGCACCACTAGTAACTTCTCTGTTACTAAATCCACTGGATATTTTCCTCCTTCTAGACTTCTTGGCAATATTCAGCACCTTTACTTTCTCTTGTTTTGAATGCTCTGTCCTAGTCTCTGGGTGTCCCCCACCTATACCTTTCACCAACCCTGAAATGGGTTCAGCCTCCTTTACCTGCCATTGCAAGCTGGAGTTCTTCCATGTTCAGCCCTCTACTCTTAACTATCAACTAGCTCCCTGGACAGCTCAAAGTTCTGTGGTTGCAAATCTCAGTGTTTCTCAGTCCTTTCTTATTCTTCTTCCCAAGCTTATAATATATAACCCTTTATTCAGTATATTGATTATTGATTTTACTGATTATTGTTTCAATTAAGAGATCATACCTAATTTACATTAAACAAATAGTAAGGTGATAGACTATGGATATTTTGAATTGCTATTATTTGTACTTGAAATAGTTATAACTGTACTTTTAAAAGGTCTTGAAAAAAATAACCATAGGGATAGTTTGTAATTTTACATATTTGTTATAATAATAGTACCAAATGGTTTCCTTTTCTCTGTGAAGGTTTCACAAGAAGTATCGTAGCAGTATACAGTACTTGTATGCTGGTGGTTCTTTTGCGAGTTCAGCTAAACATAATTGGTGGATATATTTACCTGGATAATGCGGCAGTTGGCAAAAATGGCACTGTAAGTTTCACAGATTACTATAGATATCGCCCTTTTCTTCAAGATTTAACTGAATTTAACTGAATATCACTTATCCTGGTTATTTCTATAAAATAAATATCTTTATATTTCATGTGATTGTAAATTTCTAACATTATTTTTCATATTTTGAAACTAGACTTTTTGTAATGTTCTGGAATATTATTTTTCCAATCATTTGAGGTCCTGAAAAATCATAGCAAAAGTTATACTGAAAATATATTTATTTACCAATTATATTAGGTAATTTAACCTTATTCCTATTTTGTACAGACAGTTCTTGCTCCCCCAGATGTCCAGCAGCAATATTTATCAAGTATCCAGCACCTCCTTGGAGATGGTAAGATTCTTATTTGTAACCTGGAAAATAATTTTAATTTGTTCATTTGTATTATTGAGGGATTCAAAAAGTGAACAAGGCTTTTATATTTGTTTTTCCTTGAATAGGCCTGACAGAATTGATCACGGTCATTAAACAAGCTGTGCAGAAAATTTTAGGAAGGTAAGGCATTTTGCTTAAACTTTTCTGACTTACTGATTCTAGTGAATAAAAGAAAAATTAGAATTTTTCTGGTGAAGCTGGTAATTTAACAAATGGTGGTTTGTAAAACTCTGTGTAACCTAATACAGACACAGCCCTCAGATTATAAATCCATTTTCTGCATTAGTGCTAGCTTTTTGATACTAAAGGAAAGGGTTTAATGTTTCATTGTTTATTGATTGACTTCCAAACAAACCATAAATATTTTGGGTCATGAGATAAAAGACCTACTTTAAAATCTATCTCTGAGCCTTTTTATCTTCCATTTATACTAGTAGTATCTATAATTACAGTGGGAATTTTCTTGTGAAATCTACAGCAAGATTTGTGTGGCTCTGTAATAATGATACTTAACTGATGGCTGATTTCTTAATTTACTCTAGTGATTTTAGTCAGCAGTTTAGGTTTGACTGAATCTCAAAGAGTAATCTGTTAAGAAGAGAGTGTGTATGGAACGTGTTGTATAATTTCAATTTATCCTGATTCATTTTTCTCTGCTTCTAGCGTTTCTCTTAAACATTCTTTGTCACTCTTGGACTTGGAGCAAAAACTAAAAGAAATCAGAAATCTAGTTGAGCAGCACAAATCTTCTTCTTGGATTAATAAAGATGAATCCAAATCTTTATTATGCCATTATATGATGCCAGATGAAGAAACTCCATTAGCAGTTCAGGTGATTAATTCATAACCATTTAACCAAACCAGCTACTCTATATTTTAAAAAAAAATTTTTTACTATCTCTTGAAATTTAGATTTCTGAGGCTCTTGAAAGGTAAGTGATTAAAAGGCCTTTATTCAAATGACTTAAATAAAACTTCATTAATTTAGAAAACAAACCAATTATGACTAATTTCTACTTAGAAACATAATTTTAGATATTCATCAAGTTTTTATTGAGTATTAGTTACGAGATAGACATTGTGATGTATGATTCACATACAAAATGAATATTTACATTATACTTGGGGAAATTCAGGAGATATATTCCGTTCATGTGGCTAAACTATATTTATATGAGATCCAGCAGCAAAAGATAGAGCTGATAGCTGGGGCAAGATCATGAAGAGCTTTATATGCCAAGATAAAGGTAAAGAGTCTGAACTTCAATTTATAGACAAAGATAAATTTTAACCCAGCCAGTACCACAATTACAGAATCTGCTTTTTAAAATAAATCATGTTGACAGTATCAAAATGGACTAATGAAATTCTGGTCATCCAGTTGAGAAACAAAGGCCTAATCTAACAGTTATCAACTATGGTATTGCTGCATAGTGGTATTTCGTAGGCAGTTGTGATTTAAATTATTCATTGATTAAGAATAAGAAAAATGTTGGGGCACCTGGCTAGCTCAGTCAGTGGAACATGCAGCTCTTGATCTCAGGGTCATGAGTTCGAACCCCACGTTGGATGTAGAGATTACTTAAATAAATAAACTTTAAAAAAAAGAAGAAGAAAAAGAAAAATGTCAAAGATTGCAGATTATATACTTCATTTTAAATTAATTATATATTTTTATATCTAAGCAGTTTATACCCATTCTTTACAATTAACAGAAGAGTATCTCACTTGACATCTGGAGAAACCTTAAACCACAGAGGCTCCCTAAGCCATACCTTATCCTAGATGCCCCATTAGAACAATGACTGCCATGGTTTTCATTGCCTGCTGTTTTTCCCTCCCCTAAAGACCCCCAAGATAGACCCGTTTGTGTGTCTAGATACACTGCCTCTTGAGTAGGCCAAAAAAAAAGGTTGCAGCCCTTTAAGGGAACCCCATGACCTGAAGGATGGAGGCTAAACTAAACAAGCAGAATAGATGGAATGAAATTAATAAAAGAAACACAAGAAAACTTACTTACAAATTAGAATCTCAAGGAGATACAGTAAGAGTATTAAAAAAAAATTTTCTGGAATAATAAAACAGTTTCCAAATTTTAAAATTCAATAGTGGAACTAAAAGAGAAAATGATTCAAAAGAGCAGGTGAGGAAAGGAATGACAGCCACATCCTACCTGATGAATTAGACCCTGAAACTTTAGATCGAAAGGACATAGAGAGCCCCAGACTTGATGAAAAAAGACATATTAATTTTGACAAAATGTCTTAGCAAAAGAAAGAAAAATCCCAGCCCTCTAGAACCTCAAAGGACTATCTTTTTCTTTGTAAATATATTCTATAAATGTGTTCAAGAGGGGCCAAATAAACAAGGGTCTTACAAAGTAATATCTTACTTTGACTCATTATTTTTTAGTATGGTTGACATGCAATATTACATTAGTTTCACATGTTAAACATAGTGATTCCACAAACTTATATATTATGCTATATTCACCACAACTATCATCTGTCCCCCTACATCTCTATTATAATATCGTTGATTATATTCCCTGCTGTGCTTTTTATTCTCATGACTTATTTATTCCATAACTGGAAACCTTTATCTTCCACTCCCCGTCACCCATTTTGCCCAGTCCCTCACTGCCCTCCCCCTGCAACCACCAGTTTGTTCTCTAGATTTATAGGTCTGATTCTACTTTTTTTTTGTTTAATTTTTTTGTGTTCCACATATGAGGGAAATCTTATGGTACTTTTGTTTTAGTCTGACTTATTTCCACCTAGCATAATAGCCTCATGTCCATCTATGTTGTCTTAAATGGTACAGTCTTATCATTTTTTATGGCTGTGTAATATTCCATGTGTGTGTGTGTGTGTGTGTGTGTGTGTGTGTGTGTGTGTAGAAATATTGTATGAGCCAGTAATTCTATTATTGGGTATTTACTCAAAGAAAACAACACTAATTTTATGTATGCATTACTGTTTATTGCAACATTATAATAACTAAGATTCCGATTCATGTTTTAGATAGTACTTACCTATACATATGAACTTTTATAGTTGTCTTGAGTTTAAAAGACTCATTTCTTGATTGTTAATAGAACATAGACCTGTAGATTTCCTGAACTCTTGGGGTTTATTAATACAATTAGTTTCATCATAACTCTACTAATATTTGAAACCCTAAAGTATGGCATTTTAATTTCACAGGCTTGTGGGCTTTCTCCTAGAGATGTTACCACTATTAAACTACTTAATGAAACTAGAGACATGTTGGAAAGGTATGTATACTACATGTAATGGAAAACGTGTTATATTTTGAATGTACTTATGACTGTTTTTTAGCTTTTTTTAAACAACATATGCAACATAGTATGTTGTTAAAATTACATTTTAAATTTTCCCCCCATCTTTAGGTAGGATATCCTACCCAGACCAATGGTTCTTTTATTAAGGTGATGAGAGAAATGGGTTTTTTTCAAGATGCCAGTGTCTTCCTTAAGCCATCTCCTTAGCTTAGAGCTTCTGAAATACTAGTTAAGGGACTAGAAGATAATTAGCATTTATATTTTGAAGAAAGCTCTCAGGAGTGGTCCTGATATACCCAGTGTGTTAGTAAATGTTTAACAACTAGCTCTGTAAAACAAACCAGAAACTGAAATTGTAGCTGCAGCAGTTCTGACTACCAACTTGAAATCACTTGACACTGACTTGAGGACTCCAGGAGAAATGTACTTTTGAGCCAGAGGTGGCCAGCTCCAACTAATCCTCACATATACCACATGTACACATATGCTGATGTGTGTACACTCATCCCCTCCCCACACAGACACTCAGTTTTGAGATCTACCCCCACTAACCCTCTCAGGATAGACTATACTATTCCAAAAACTTTGATAAAAATTTTACATCTTCCCTAAATTGAGAATTATTGTTTTAAGTCACCCAGAAGACAGCCAGGGTGTTAAAAATGGAGAAAGCACCAGATGTTGCATTACAAGACCTAGATTCAAGGTTGGCTTTCCTGTTTATTAGGTGTTCAATATTAGTTGAGCCACTTAACCTCTTAGAGGTAGTTTTATCATTGTAGAATTTGAGTAGTAATACCAGTCTTACCCACTTTATCTTATGTGGTTAAAACATCAAAGTTTCTTTTATCCTAAAGATGATTTAGGACCTTTTTCTCTAGTTGTGTTTTCTGAGGAAATTATATCCTCTGCTTATAAGATATTTTCATGATCATGATGAAAATCAGCAACTTTTTAAGGTTAACTCAGCTACTGAATCTACTATCTGAATTCATCAAGTTCTGGTCTCTTAAAAAAAAATTCTAGTCTCTTGACTTTCTACAATAGCCATCTCCACATTATTTCTTACTCGGATTTCTACCAAATCACTCCATGAAGTTCCAGAACAAGTCCTCAGTGATCCCTTCCCAAATCCAGTCAACCTGTAATGTTCATCTTACTTGGCCTTTCTCTTGATAATTATCACTGGTTGATCAAGCCTTTCTTAAAATTCTTTTCTCATGTGGCTTCCATGACAATGTAATCTCCTAATTTCTCTCCTCATTCTCAGATTATTTCCTCCCTGTCCATCTCTCTTGTAAATATTAGTTTTCTAAGGTATTTGTTCTTCATCCTCATCTGTTCCAAGCAATTTCATATTTACTCATTGCTTTAAACACTGTATACTAATAATTCCCAAATTCATAGCCCACCGCTCCCATGAGTTAGTCTGGTTTGAGAGTTCTACATGTCAAAGATCAAATTAATCTGTTCAGTTAGGCATTTTCTAACTTAATAGCACATATATATTATTTTTTATATCAAAACCATTTTGGGACACCTGGGTGGCTTAGCAAGTTAAGTATCTAACTCTTGATCTCAGCTCAGTTCTCAATTGTAGGGTTGTGAGTTCAGGCCCCACACTGGGCTCCATGCTGGGCACGGAACCTACTTAAAAAAAAGTTTTTTGTGAGATACTCACATGGTATAACTAAAAGAGCTTGAACTTAAAGACCTAAAAAGGCCTGGGTTCAAATTCTAGCTCTCTCATTTACTTAATTACATAGCTTTGGGCAATTTCTTCATCCCTAAGTATCCAGTTTCTCATCTGTATATGATAATAAAATTTTCCGTCTCACTGGGATATCATGACAGAGATATAAAGCAAACCAATATTTGTGATTATGAAACAATTCCTCTTAAGAGTTTCCTGAAGAGAAGTAATACTGTTATTGATATTTTTGAAAACACATTGTACAAAGTGCTGAATAATATAAGAAATCTCACAAAATGGGTGAAAACTTTCATTGTTTTATGCTAAATAATAACTCACTTTTTATGCTTAATTTTAAAAGATTAACTCCTTGATATATTCTTACAGTGTTTCAGGCTATAAAAAGTAGGTTGTGACTGGAAATGTTGGTGGCTGTCAAAGATAACAACATAGTTACTGAGTTTATTACCTTTTCCATTGAAAATCTAAAAAGTAATTTATCCTTCTTATTTTGTATAGTCCAGATTTTAGTACAGTTTTGAATACATGTTTAAACCGAGGTTTTAGCAGACTGCTAGACAATATGGCAGAGTTCTTTCGACCTACTGAACAGGACCTCCAACATAGCAACTCCATGAGTAGGTAAGATGACAAAAAATGTTATGAGTCTAATGAATAGTCTAATAAAAGAGTTTTGGGTGTGTTTATTTTTTGTTCCAGGTAATAAAAAATTCTTAGTGGATAAATTTGATCATTTCTCAACAAATTAAATTCCCTTAAACCAATGACTCTAGAAGCTCCTTCTGGATTCAATATTAAAAATTTTATTTCTTCCCAAAATTTTGCCACTATATGGAAATAAGTTGTGAAAACTACCTTTCAGTAAGCCAAATTCTAGTTCTTGGAACTTTTTTTTTTAATTCTTTAGAAAATAAAACTGAAAATGTATTTAAATACTATAAATCATAATTGGCCCACATAATTCAGTAGTTTGGTCATTATAATAGCCAACCATTCTTGTTATAATTTTCCATTTCACGAATTCTCTCCTACTTCTACAACTACATAGTGTATTCATTTTTAGCTCTTACTGTAGGAATGGAAGTATTTAGTTAGTGCAATTAGTAATTTTAATCACAATTATTTCTAAGCCATACATTCATACTACTAAAATGTATCATATTGTTTTATTATATCCTTTTCTCAACATGAATATTTTGGATCTCCTGTTGGAATTTATACTCTTTAAAAACCCGTTTTGTAGTTTTTTATATTAAACTCAGAAAATAGGGACATCTGGTGGCTAAGTGGTTGTAGGGACAGCTGGTGGCTAAGTGGTTGCACATCTGCCTTCGGCTCAGGTTGTGATCCCAGGGTCCTGGGATCAAACCCCCGCATTGGTCTCCCTACACGGAGCCTGCTTCTCCCTATGCCTGTGTCTCTGCCTCTCTCTGTCTCTCATGAATAAATAAGTATTTTTAAATAAATAAATAAACTCAGAAAATAAGTACTAAACCAATGTTAACTGACTATAATCTAGTCCATTAAAATGAAGAGAAACAGTAAGTGATATGCAGTATGTATGTGCAATATCCAACTTAATTTTTAAATAACATAGGACAAGAAATTAGTCAATTCTCTGGAACCGGGATCCCTGGGTGGCGCAGCGGTTTAGCGCCTGCCTTTGGCCCAGGCCGCGATCCTGGAGACCCAGGATCGAATCCCACGTCGGGCTCCCAGTGCATGGAGCCTGCTTCTCCCTCTGCCTGTGTCTCTGCCTCTCTCTCTCTCTGTGACTATTGTAAATAAAAAAAAAAAAAAAAAAAAAATTCTCTGGAACCCTTTATTGTCTAAAAAAGAATAATTTGCAATTAACATTGAGGATTTGGAATGTTTAGAGTGATAACATTTATTTTCTGAAACAGTTTAAATATTACCTTAAAGTCTGTTATTTGGAGTTCTTTAAGTTATACAAAAATAAATTTCATACCCTATATACTTCCTAAATCAAGTATTAATAAATTAATAAATAATAATAATAAATTAATAAAACTTCACTATAACCTCTATGTAGCAAGGTGTTATTTCCCAAATAGTGATAAAGAATTGTTATAGTTGTTTTAACACAAATACTTGACCTTCTACACTGAAGAATTTCAAAAAATTGTGTTATAGCCACATCAGCCATTGAAAGTCTTCCTTTTTGAACTCCTACAATAGTCAGTGCTTTACTTTCCCATGAAACCTATGCTTTTTCACCTAGAACTGGAATTGTATTTCTCAGTTATGTTTTAAGCCTCCTCTCAAAGTCAGAGATTATCTTATGCCCTTTCATACTTCATTACACACACTAGGTATTCAGTAGATATTTCCTATCTTGAGTTTTTTCTCTTCTATATTGATAACCAAGTTCATACTCCATGATTCAATACTAGAAATATTTTTACTATGCCTTGCATTATTCCTTTTATTTAACATGTGAAAGTTCTAGCCATCACAATAAGTCAAAAAAAAAAAAGATTTTCAGTTATTGGCAAAGAGACAAAATGATATAGAATCCTCAAGAGGATCAACTGAAAAGTGATGCTAACTAATAAAAGCTCAAATTATATATGAGTGTGTTATATATGTATATATTCCTGTACATACTATATATGTATATGCACATAATATATAATATTCAAGAAATGACTTAAAAAGTAAGCAGTAAATATATTTTACCTATAAAACATATAAGGTGCAATTATTAGAATAATATGTTCCTCATAATAGATGTAAACTCCAGAAACAGTCTGTAAAATATACAGAAAATTAGTACATGATTAAGATGAGGAAGAGATGTATTATTTAGTAAATGATAAGACAGATTAGTCATTTTACAATGACTAATGTAAAATAATAATAATAATAAAGTTAGACCCTTCTGTACCACACACATAGCCAAAAAAATTCAGGAGGTTTAAACAACAAAAACATAAATAATGAATAAATGAATATTTGTCAAAGTTCAAGATGGAGAAAGTCTAAGAATGAAAGTAAAGAACTTCACAAAAGAAAATGATAGGTTTGGCTGTAAATTTAAGACTTACAGATCAAATAAGATTTATTATTAGCTTTATAATTGGTATTAAATGCAAATGATATGTTGAAGGAAATGTTTGCAAACTATATAGCATACAAAGAGGTTAATGGCATTATGGACACATCAGTTAAGGAAGGAAACACCCAAAGAAAGAAATGATCATAGACACAAACAGGTAACTCTGAAAAGAGAAGTAGAAGTGCCAATTTCTCCCTTCATCTAGCATCTATTTGTTGTACACCTACTATGTTATCAGGCACTGTACTAGGTCTCTGTCCTCATGGATCTTAAAATAGAAGAGAAATAGACAATAAACATCATTGATACAAGCTGTGATAAGTGTTAAAAAGAAAAGAACATTGAACAAATGATAAAAGTATTTGAACAAACATGGAAAGTCAGGAAGCTTCCTTGAGGAAATAATTTAAACTGAGAACTAAAAGATGAGCAGCAACTAAATATGGCCTTGGAGTGGAGTGGGGCAGTTGATGTTTAGGGCAGAAGCCACAGGACAAAGACTTTAAAAAGAGGAGGACCCCAGTACACTTGAGGACCTGGAAGAAGCTGATATGACAGCTAAATGGCTGGAACTGGGAAATGGAGTGTGAGATCAAGTTGAAGAATCCAGAACATGCAGTTTATGGTTGTCAGGTTGAGAGTGCTGGGGAGCCACTAGAGAAGTGGCAGGAGAGTTCATGATGGGATTGACATTGTAGGATCACTTGGATTGCCCTGTAGAGAAGGAATTGGGAAAGGAGAATTGGGGTGGAATATAGCAGTGGATGAATGAAGACTTGTATTAATTGATTCAGCAAGTATGTACTGAGCACATACTCAGCCCTTTACTAAGTGTTGTGTTAATACAGTGAGTGAAACAGACATGGTACCTAACCTCACAGGCCTTGTAGGATAGCGGCGTCTTTAGTTTCTATTGAAGAAAAATTAATGTACAAAAAGAAACCTCAAACAAGTAAAAACATGACAGATTTTGAAAAATGCTACTATAAAAGAAATAATGCCTCATTTTCTCAGAAATATATAAATCTCTACACTCCTTTTTCTTTTTATGCATTGCCTCAAATCTCAGCATAGCATACTGGTTAGATAACATAATTCAGCATTTTCATGACGTTTAAAAGGAAATTTCTAGTGTAGCCTCATATAAATATATGAAGTATTACATTTAGTGTAGTAAGCCTAAATCTGTAACCCACACAAAAAAATTACTTCATTGTTTCTAAACTGTTGCATCATTTTACAGTCATTATATCATCCACAATCACACAAACATTCATTTATTCACCAAAAAACTGATTGTTGAACACTTAAAAGGTCACTGCTATGGTCCAGACAAGCCTGGATTAGGTTTGGCAATGGGGAGAGGTAGATACACTTAGGAAATATTTAGGATTGTGGAGGGGTTCAATATTGTCAGGATAAAGAAGTGCCAAGGTAAAGCCCAGATCTCCTTTTACACAGCCAGATAGATAATGGTGAAGTTCACTGGAGTAGGGAGAAGAAACATTCAACATTGCTAGTAATTAAGAGAAACACAGACTAAAACTGTAAGATACCATTTTGAGCTATCAGACATACAAAGATTTTTTTTTTTAAGTTAGTGCTTGATGTAGAAAAAGGCATAATGCAGCAGGTTTTCTCATACACTGCTGGAGAAGCAGAGGGCATCTGTCAATATACATTATAAACCTTAAAAATATTCATACCCTTCAGGCATCTGGGTGACTCAGTTAAGCATCCAAATCTTGATTTGGGCTCAGGTCATGATCTCAGTCCTGGGACCAGCCCCACCTTGGGCTCTGCTCGATGCAGGGAGCCTGCTTAGATTCTCTCTCTCCCTCTGTCCCTCCCTCCACTTGTACACTCTGTCTCTCAAATAAATAGAGAAATAAAATCTAAAAAAAAAATTCATACCCTTTGACCCAGTACCTCTGTGTCAAAACAAAGAAATATTCAAGGAAAATTAGGCAAAAACTTGCCCAATTCCAGGGAGTTGTAACAGCTGGAGGATGAATTAGGTTTCTAATCATTAAAAAATAGATTAAAACTTTAGAAGAACTTTTAATAAGATGGAAAAATGTTCATAACATAATAAAAATATAAAATATTGTTGAGGAGTTATAATCTTGGTTTTAAAAAATGCACAAAAAAGTACAGATATGTATAAAAATTACTGGAAGAAATTATGATGTCAGTTATAGTTGTCATATCTAGGGGGTAGAATTATGTGTGATTTTTATTTTCTTAATACATTTCTGTAAATATTCTTCAGTGACTATATTGCATTATAATTAAAATGTTAAGTTCCCACAAGGTAATTTCAGAAAATAATTATTACTTTGATGGTTTTTCAGTCTTTCCAGTGTCAGCCTGCCATTAGCTAAGATAATTCCAATAGTAAATGGACAGATCCATTCAGTTTGCAGTGAAACACCTAGTCATTTTGTTCAGGTAAGAAGAAAGCTTGGAGGTATTATTAAAAACATTGTATCTTTTGGTTGTGATTATTATTTGTCGGACATAAAATTATATTTCCCCCCTGTGACATTTGTTCAAAGAAACCAAAAACTTAAAATCACATGTAGAGTGTGGTAGGATGCCCCATGAGAGCAAGCTTGTATCATGGCAAGTTTATGAGGTTGGGAATACCTCTCTCTGAATTACGGTCCAACACCAGTTAGACTTGCACTTTTAGTCCATATACATTCTAGTGGTCAGTTGAACTTAGCGTATTAATGTTTTGCATTAAACTGTTGGTAATAACATTGAGCTGTGAGACCAGTGGCCCACTTCCACAAAATTTGAGGATACCAAAAAAATTTTTGTGAAGAAGTAAAGCATTTTAGTATTAATAAATATGACTATTAATAGTGTACCAATAATCTGCTCATGAAAAGCTGCATAAGCAGTACTACCTATAACTCCATCCTCTCTTAGAAGAGCATTTTGGAATGCATTGAGTAAGACTGATGCTATTGAAATAGTCACTTTGGTTCCACATAGTTATTTATTCTGAGTCACTCGCAAACTTGGCTTAAAGACTAAGACTTGTATTAGAAGTAAAAAATTGTGGGGTGCCTGGGTAGCTCAATCAGTTAAGCCTCCAACTCTTGATCTCAGCTCAGGTCTTGATCTCAGGGTCATGAATTCAAGCCTTGTGTTGGGCTCCACGCTGGGTGTGTTACTACTTAAAAGGAAAAAAAAAAAGTAAAAACTTGTTTGCAGTACACCTCAATTCCAAACTACTGAAGTAATGGACAGTGAGGAGACTCTAAGGCCTGTGTCAGGATGCCATCTTCTCAGTTCCCAGTGTCTCAGACAAGTTAGGTTATCTTCCTGTACCTTCTCCCTGGGAATGTGAAAGGCACTGAGACTACAGATTGTATTATTCTTTTTGTGTATGGTGTCAATAGTTTGTTCTTTACATTCTTATTTCCCTCACTGTTCTCTCCAGTCTTCTGTGTCATCTTTCTCACGTTGTGACAGGCATTCGTATTGCAGAAAGAAGAGTGAAAAGGACTGATCTCATTTCACTTAATTTTAAGCTCAATTTTTTAAAATTAAAAACCTAGTTTAAATTTTTAATTTCTTATTAATTTGATCTTCACATGTATATTGGTGTGAGAAAAAAAGGTGGTAATTTCTGGCATTTAAACCTTAACTTTACCTTTCTCCACTTTCATAAAAGCCTCTGGCTTCATCAATAAGGCTGTTCATCTTGGCAACAAGTATGAAATCCAACCAAGGATGATTGATACACCACCAGCAGCCTTAATATTAATACTTAAGTAATTCATGTACTACATTAATTAAAATATTTTTAATTGATTATTAAAAGATTTCAATCTAATAAAAAACACCATTGTTTAGTTTTTGGATGTGACGGAATGTAGATTAAACATATATACTACACTACTAATTGACAAGATTCTCACCAGTTTTTTTAACCATAATTTCTATGAGTTAAAATGCCACTCTTCAGAGAATTTAACTATGAATTTATTGAGAGCAAGACTTGCCTAAAGCTCATTTGCATTTTCTGATACTCAGGAGACAACATAAAGAACAGATTCCTTACTGTTCGATGCTCACAGGGGCATTCAAATGCTTCTGTGTCATGGATCTTTTCACAATCTGGTGAAGCCTATGAACCCCTTCTCAGAATAATGTCTATAAATGCATATTACAAAATAACACAGGTTTAAAGAAAACCAATTACGTACAGTTTTCAAAATGTTTTTTAAAATCAAATTTATGAAGCAGTATTGCTTTTTTGTTCATATATTAAATAACAGGATGTAATGGCAGTTCATGCAACTTCCACAACTATCATACATGAAAATATAGGATTTCTATTGAGGACAAATTGATAGGCCATGCTATTACTATCACAGTTGGTCTTTCATAATTGAAAGGAATACTAGTTCTTAGTTAGAGATAATGAAAATTAAAATGTGATTTTTTTTTTATTTTTACATTCATCAATCTCTTAAGAACCCTTGTTCTAAAGTGTCTATGTGTGGTTTATGTATGTATATGCAACAATATGTGACATGTTACATTTATCCTATGTTAGATCTTCTAAAAAAAAAGTAATATACCTCACAACCACGTTATGTCAGCTTCTAGCAAAAGTGCCTTGACATCTGTATCTTTAGTACTGTAATCATTTATTCAATATAGTGTATCTAACTTGGCATACAGAAGAGTCCTTTGAAGACTGTTTTGGGTCTTCCACTCAAAGTCACATGTGAATACTTATACTCACCATCCTTCACATAAGAACCTAAATAATAAGCATGTCCTAGAATTTATTGTGAGGAAAAAATATTCCTTTCATGAAATGATTTTTTTAACTCAGTGCCATAAAACAGGACTAAATTCATTGCTCAAATTGCAGAAGTGGATTCAAATTATCTATATTTCTTACGTACTGTGATGTTTTACTGTCATCCTTGCTAGGATCTATTGATGATGGAGCAAGTGAAAGACTTTGCTGCTAATGTGTATGAAGCTTTTAGTACTCCTCAGCAACTGGAGAAGTGATTTCTTTTCCTTCAAGAAAAACTACAGTGGAATTCACTTTTAAAAATACACTGAATAAATCAACTATATATAGGGTAATGATTTGTTACCAAAATGCCTAATAAAAAATATATTCTTAATCAAAGTCTTCATTTCATAATAAAATAGATTTATTTGGCATCTTAATATATTTTTTTAAAGTCACCAACAGACTAGTTTTTGTGGTCATATCTGAGGGTACACAGTGTAGATGTTTGTTACTCCTTGGACATTAGTTCTAAACTGACTAAAAACTAGTGTACTTTTTTTTAATGGAATACAAAATGTAGTATACATTGACATTAATACTGAGGAGAAATCTGGGTGTGGAGTTTAGAAAATGTACTTTTTAATCATAAAGTTCACTGGACAGCAGTATACATGAGGGAATCAGACTTTTCTCCAGTTACTCTTCAAAGGTATAAATCATTTATCTTAAATAAACCTGATGAACGACTTTTCTTTTTATGGGAATTGGTGAATTTAACAACCAGGATCAGTATTTTTTTTACTATTGTTAACAATCCTTAGAAAATTATTTAGAGGCTAAAGTGCTGATGCTGTTTACTCAACAGCTATTATTATCTACATAGTTTCATTCATTTGTATGTAAATAATTTTAATAACTTTGTATTGATTTTGAGCACAGTAAATATCTTACTGCAATAAAAATATTTTAGTAAAATATTGTTTTGTTGAGTTAATACCTTACAGCTGTTAATTTGTTTGTCCCATAGCATTTTTTTGCTGTTATTTTAGGAGAATATGCTAGTTTTCAAGTTTTAACTGGTAATATAATTGATGCTTTAACTTTTTTGTTTAGAAAAAATAAATAGCATTTCTTTCTGAAAAAATAATTCATAGCCTCTAGTTAAATCTATATTCTGTATTTATAAGGATAATTAGGGCAGAAATAAATGGATCATCAGTGTATTAGATACATTTTCAGTAATAATAGAATATTTTCAGTGACATCACTTTATGCTCCTCCAATATAACACATAGCTAGGTAGTAGAAGGTACAAAATGAATTGTGAAGTCTCTTCTAAGGCCAGGCAAGGCCCAAAGTCAACTGCTAGGGAGTCTATGTCTACAATGTTTAAAAAAAGAAAAGAAAAAACAAATGTAAAAGTGGTGAGGAGAGCAAATGCTTCTTTTCAAAATTTGACAGAATATAGTGATACTATTTTCTAATAGGGTTACAAAAAAACTGCATTTTTGGAAAATTAGTGAATGTGTATGTAATAGGGCATGCATCTCTTCCAGCAGTATTAACCCAGGATTTCATCCAAGGAATATTTGAGACTGAACAGGTGTGGCCTTATAAAAGGATCAAAATCTGGTCAGCTGAAAATTTTCACCTGGAGTCCTCTACACTGTGGAGTTGTGGCAAGTGAAGAGGTGACAAGGTAAAAACCACATGTATTTGAAGCTAATTGGTCTTAGACATTACAAATTTGTCTTCAACTAATACAGTAAGAGCCCTCTTATCTGGGACCCTTAGTTGTTGGGCTAATCCACAAGGTCATTTAAAGCAGGGAATCACACACAAAAAACTTATTCGTAGAGGTCCCTGGGTGGCTCAGTCAGTTAAGCATCTGCCTTCGGCTCTGATTATGATCCCAGGTCCTGAGATCAAGCCCCAAATTGGGCTCCCTGCTCAGTGGGGAGTCAGCTTCTCCATCTGCCCTTCCCCCTGCTGATATGCTCGCTCCAGCACTCTCTCTCAAACAAAATCTTAAGAAAAAAACTTATTCTTAGATATTTTAACTTAAAGAATGTTTATTTGTCAAATATTTACTGTAAGACCCAGGTCTTTTCTCTTTAATATTGGTTCTGCTTTTGGCATCCTCTAATTGTACAAATCACATACATTGCTTTACATTATATAGTTGTGAGCCAAGAATACAGAATTCTTGTAGATTTTTGCTATATTTTCCTCCAGTCTTTTAGAACTGTTTTGCCCATAGTTAATTAACACCTTTAAATTTTTTAAAAAGGCAACATACTTTTTTTTTTTTTAAGATTTTATTTTTAAGTAATCTCCACCCAACATGGGGCTGGAACTCACAACCCCAAGATCAAGAGTCACATGTTCCACCAACAGCTAGCCAGGCTCCCTTAAAAGAGCAACACAGTTTTATCTACTCTTTCCAAAGTTCAGCTTGATTTTTGCAGAAACTACAACTCTTCAAACTCATGTCATCAGTTTGTATAATCATGATAAAAAGTTCAACTGGCATAGTCCGTTTATTTGGTAACTGTTTTAGTTTCCTAGAGCCGCTATACCAAATTATCACTAATTGAGTGACTTAAAAAAACAGAAATTTATCCTCTCAGCATTCTTGTACTTGGAAGTCCAAAATCAAGGTGTCAGCAGGAATATGCTCCCTCTGAAGGCTCTAGAGAAGACTGTTCAATTCTTTCTTGACTCTCCCAGCTTTTGGTGGCCCAAGTGTCCCTTGGCTTATAGTACAAACTCCATTCCCTGCCTCAGCACAGGGCCTTCTCTGTGTGTCTGTGTTCTTTTTCTCTTACAAGGATACTTTCATTGAGGACCCACCTATGTACAGCATGGTCTTAGCTCAACACTTGAATTACATTTGCAAAGACAGCATTTGCAAGTAAGAGCACATTCTTGGCTTCCCGGTGGACATGAATTGTTGGGGAATACCATTCAACCCACCATAGTAACAAATGCAATTCAGCTTGGTAGACATACATTGCAGCAAGTAGAAATTGAAGGGAAGGGTGTGCCAGATAGAAATCTATTACCTGAAAGCATGTAGCTTGCCCTAGGCATCAATCAGTATGCTTTTCAAAGCAGATAGAAAGCTTCAGTTAACCCAGTAAATTGGTTGAACAGAGATTATTTAAAACTGCTTCAACTTTTTCTCTTTCAAACTTGTATAAATGTGTATGTCACTGTGTATGTATAAAAATTTGATAAGAGTATTTATTTGCTTGAAGATAGGAAGATTCTATATAACTAGGTCTTTCAGAAACTTACATAATTGAAATGAACAGAAGGCAAAACATCTGTCTTGTATTCTGTTGTCCCAATTCATATTTAGTTGAAGAGCCTGACCTTTTAGATAATTACGTTGTTTGCTACAGTACTAATAAGAAAATGAGAATCTTATTAAAGTGATACCCATATCCAAAATATCAGTGTCTAGATTATTCAGTCCAATAATCTAGTTTGGTTTGCTTTCAGCATTTCTCTAGTCATTAAAGGAAAATCAGAAGTTACTGAAATTCAAATCAAGCCATTTTGTACCTACTTAATAACTCTGAGAAAAGGATTGATGGGAAGATATAAACTATTGGCTTAAAATAGGTAATGAGAGATCTGATTTTTAATTATCCTTACTATAATTCTTGTTCTCATATCACAGATATTTTTTCATATAGTTGGGTTAAATGCTGAACTATATTTTGTCATTTATCTCCCTCATAGCTACTAAATAACTCCCTTTTTTTGTTTTTTATTAGTTTAGTGTTTGGGATCATATAAGTCTGTCCAAGTTGGATTTCTAATAAAATTTTAATTGGGATTCAGAACTATGTAAAATATCTTGGCATGGTTTCAAAAATTTGGTAATTTTAGAAACTTGAACAATGAGTAATTTTTTTTAAAAGTTTTCAATGTTAGCATGTTTTAGGAAATATGTACTTTTCATTCTCTATTTGAAGCATTTTTTGGAAAAGTGAGATGTCTGCATTTGATTAATGTGACAAAATAGAACCTGGAGTACTTCAAATAAAGACCTGGCCAATTAAACATCTTTTGTTGAGGAGAGCGAGTTCTGTAATCAGTATTCCTTTAAATTTACATCAAAATCAATATTATTTTTACTTCATTATTTTGCTTCTTTCTTAGATTTGAGTAGAATTCCTAATTTTCAGTTAGGTTTTCAAATTCAATTTGCTTGAAGGCACATATAGGAAACATATTTATTAACTTAAATTGGAGCTCAAATTAGCTCACCTACAAAAATTGGCCTATACCTCCAATCCCACACTCCAATCACTCCCCCTCCAAAACCCTGAAAGAATATATTACTAAAATATTAATAGTCATGATCTAAACAATGGCTTTAGCATTTCTAAAATGCTTTGAGCATCTTTGTATGTTTTAAAATACCTACAGTAAAAATACATCAGATTTATGACCAAGAGGGAAAAAAAAGCAATTTTTTTGATAAAAAGACAATTACTGTGAGCATTGAAAATATGAATTAGGCCAAATTTATTATATACCTACCATCTGTATTAGTCTGCTAGGGCTGCCATAACAAAATACCACAGACTAGGTGGCTTAAACCACAGTAATATGTTTTCTCGTAATTCTGAAGGCTGAGAGCCCAGTGTATTGGCAGGTTTGTTTGTCTTAAAGCCCCCCTCCTTGGCTTGCAAGATGGTGCCTCCTCCCTGTGTCCTCATGAGGCCTTTCATCTGTGTGCTTGCACCCATGGGGGCTCTTTGTCTTCTTATAAGGACACAAGTCATACTGGATCAGGTTCTCTTATTTTATTTAATCTTAGTTACCTCTTCAAAGGCACATTGGGCGTTAGGGCTTCAGCGTGAGAATTTGAGACACAATTCAAGAGACATAATTCAGTCCTCACCACCACCAGTTCCTAGCTACTGTAAACAGAAATCTCCACTTCTTAATAGCACATGGAGATAAATTCAATGTGAAGAGACTTTGATAGCAAAGTACACTGAAGAGTTAAAACAATTACATGGCTAATTTAGGAAAAACATGAGTAAGAGCCAAAAGGGCTGATTTGCCTAAATAATTACTTGAGTCTTCTTGACCAGTTTCACAATTGCTTTCTCTGTGTGCTACAACTATAGAAATCTGATATTTTCTAGTCTTCGGTCTACCTGCAGCATGAACCTCTCTGTTGCAAATTAGATCACATTAGTTAGTGCCAGAGCCCAGCCCCATTTACTGGGCATCTGATGAAAGGTTAGATGTGGCAGTTCTATCAATAAGCCATTTGGCTTCAAAGAAGTCCAGTTAAGTGGCTGTCCATGTCCCAGCAGTTTAATCTGAAATTAAAAACACACACAAATATTTCCAAATGTATTTCTTTGGCTCACCCACTTTATTGGGAAAGAGTGGCTGGTATTTCTTTAAAACACTATAGTCAGGAGACTCATCTTTTGGTTTTATTTAGTTCACTATTTTAACCCTTGATCCAAATGAGTGCATACATATGTCTTGCTTCTGTATTCCTCTCATATAAAAGTGTGCAAGTGTTGGAAAAGAAGAATTGTACAGGTTGAATAGTGTCAGAGTAGGGAAAATGACTCTGGAATCAATCCAATGTAAGGCCTCTGTAGTTCTTACACAGAATGTTTGGAGAAGGCCCCCCCCCACCTCATCTGGTTACCCTTCCTCCTAAGATTTTCTGGTAACTAATCAACAGTACATAAGTCTGATCAATTATTACTGTAATTGTTTTATATCCTTAGTCTTATACTAAGTGGATTTAGATATAAATAATTTTCTACATGTCTGTGGTTATTTTGAACCAGAAAACATTGCCTATCACGTAGAGCAACACAAAAACAAAACCCATGAACTTTTCAATAACAGTATTAATAGGAGCCAAACAGCATATAGATAAAATTTTAAAATGATGTCATACCCAGGCTACTAAGCTGCAATTAAACATCAAATTTGAACTTCCATCTTCCTTTCTGCCTGATATCAGTCACAGTGTTAGAAATGAAATATGGAAAATGACACAAGGAGAAGCATATGGACGATTTATGTTCAAGGAAATTGTCAGCTTCTTAAAAATAAGCTATAAAATATATCCAAATGAACTCAATATCAGATCTGTTGGTTACAACTGTTAGATTAACTTTCTCCAAATTTTTTTAATGACCTTAAAATAGTAAGGCCACAACATCTTACTTTTATTCAGATATTTTCTGGGATGGGATGTCTGGGGGAGAATGTGAATTCATTTTATATATGTATGTATGTATGTATGTACTTATGAATTCCAGAATGATTTTGGATGTTTGCAGAACTTGAACAACCTAAAATAATTGTGAAAAAGAATATCTATTTTATGTTAACACTCATGGAGATAAAATAGCCGTTTTATAAATTTAGTTTTCTGGGGGTGCCTGGGTGGCTCAGTCAGTTAAACATCTGCCTTAGGCTCAGGTCATGATCCCAGGGTCCTAGGATCAAGTCCCGCATCAGGCTCCTTGCTCAGTTGGGAGTCTGCTCCTCCCTCTTCCTCAACACCCCCCCCCCCCCGCTCATTCTCTCTCTCTCTCTCAAATAAATAAAATCTTTTTTAAAAATCTATTAAAAGTTTTGTTTTCTGGGAAATGAAAAAAAATTCTCAAAGATTTGACCAAACATTGCCATTAATTAAGTTCATTTTAAAATTACAGGTATCACTCACATTTTGAAAGTTTGTGTTATGCCACTTCACTTTTATGAAAGACCTACAGTAGTACCTGTTTTTGTAACTGAAAGAAATCTGAAGACGATATTCACTTTTACAAAGGAAAAATAGCATTCAGTGTTTGTTTTGCAGAGAGCCATTTTAGAGGCAGTGTACACCCAAAGCAGCAATGAGAGTGGCAGCAAGTTCCTTCCTACACTCAGCATCTCAGCATCAAGCTACCATAGCTTTGAACTGTGTCTGTGAGCATCTGTGCTGTATCTCAATGTTTTGTGCATCCATTAGCAAGATGTGTTCTAAGGTATCAGAAGAGCCTAAGAGAGGTTATCTTTGGGCTCTGAGACTGTTCAGAAAAACTTCCATATAAATTAATGGTAAATGCTCCTTTGCTTTATATCATTTCAGCTTATGAAAGGTTTCATTGGAATGCTTTCAGATAGTGGGGGAAACCTGTACTCTTATGAGTTATAAAAGGATCATAAATAAAGACAATTAGTAAACATAAAATCTCCTTACCTGTGTTACTCCCAGAGTAGCTATGGGTTGGCTAAGAAATAGACTTCTTGATGTGGGCCATTCAAGAAATATGGCATAGACCAATTTTTGTTTACGTTTAGATGTGTACCTGGTTAAAAAGGGAGAAAAGCAGAGTAGTATTTCTCATTATAGGTCTGGTTGGAATTATTTTACAGAGACCTTTCCATGCAATAGATATTTAACAATGTGTTTATTAGCATAGGGAAAGAAAAATAACTCCATGGTAGAATAAAAAGCACCCAAAGGGGGTTCCCAATTCCAGCGTGTGTGCTGGGGACTGGAGAGGAGTTCCCTAACCCACAAAGAAATTCTCAGACACCAGCTGGATGTCCTGCAATTTCAACTCAATTCTGACACTATCTACTGGGAAATAGTGCCAGATTTCCACAGTCAAGGATTCAGTCCTACAAGACTACTTGCCTGTACCACTCTCAACTTTAGACACCAATCACAAGTCCAGGTTATCACCTGGTTCTCTAACCCATAAGCTACAGATGGTAAGTTCCAACAACATTCTCCTTGGGTTCGATTTTCTACAGCAGTTCACAGAACTCACAAACATTTTACTTATTGGATTACCAGTCTATTATAACAGGAGAAAACTCAGAAACAGCCAGAGGGAAGAGATGCTTAGGGCAAGGTATGGGGAAAGGGCTTGGACCATCCATGAACTCTCCAGGTGCACATTCTCCCAACAATCTTGAACCTCTCTGAACCCCATCCTTTTGGTTTTTTTTAATTTTTATTTATTTATGATAGAGAGAGAGAGGCAGAGACACAGGCAGAGGGAGAAGCAGGGTCCATGCACCGGGAGCCCGACGTGGGATTCGATCCCGGGTCTCCAGGATCGTGCCCTGGGCCAAAGGCAGGCGCTAAACCGCTGCGCCACCCAGAGATCCCTCCTTTTGGGTTTTTATGGAGACTTCATTACATGGGTATGATTGATTAAACCATTGGCCATGGGTGATGGATTCAACCTCCAGCTTTTCTCCTCAACCTGGAGGTTGAAGGTTCCTGTAAGATTCAACCCTGTAATAGCAAGGTGGGATCTCCTGGCAACCAGCCTCACCCTTTGGTGAAGTGAAAAAGCCACCTTGGCAACATAACAAAAGAAATCTTTATAGTTCTCATCACTCAGGAAATTCCAAGAGTTTTAGGAGCTCTGCACAAGAAATGGAGATAAGACCAAATATATACTTGTCATTATAAATCATAATATGCTAGTAACTCCTTCCCCTACTTCCTCTCTACTAAAAGGGACAGACATTTTTCTAATATTCATCAGACAGTTCTCATAGGGCTGAAAATAGGCAGGGAAATAGGAGCAAAGAAGGTAAGATGCAAGAGTAAATGGCTTTCTACCTGCTAATTCAAATCTTCATATTCCCTCATCAACATGTATGTGTCAATGCTGGGCCAAGTACTGAGGCTGGTGTTAGGAGTACAACAGAAAACAAAACACAGTTCGTTCTTGTTCTTACAGAGCTTAGACTGGAATGAGGAAGACAGACGTTCAATAATCACATAGATAACATCACTGAGTTTTGACAAGCACAATGAAAGAAAAAGAAAGTGAAAGACCATAACAGAGGGATGGATCTCTTCAGATTAGACCATCAGCAAGAAGCCTCTCCAAGAAAATGATATTTAATCTGAGACTTAAAGGATGAATGAGAGAAAAGGAGAAAACGTAAAAACAATAAGCTCTAGACAAAGGAAACAACTCATTCTTTTACTTAATTTTTCAACAAATACATATTGAAATCTTAAATCCTATTGACTGTTAGAGCTGGAGACAGCACTGAACATGTCCTCATGGATCTTATATGATAGTGGGAAAAATTAGAATGAACAGGTGATGATTAAGTGCTATCGAGCAAACTGAAGCCAGGTGAGGACAGCATGCTAGGTTAGAAAGGAGGGGTATAGGTGTTATTTTAAATCTAATCATGAAGGACGTCCTCTTTGAGGAAGTGGCATTGAGGAGACCTGAAGAATGTGAGGGAGCTATGTGAGTATTTGGAGGAAGAGAGAATAGCAAGCACAGAAGTCCTCATGCAAGAGTATGCTTGGCCTGTTGACATGGCAGCAAGGAGGACAGAAGGAGAGGAATGAGGGATAGCAGGATGGGAGACAAGATCAGAGACAGCAAGGAGCCAGGTTGGTTTTTTGTTTGTTTTTTTAAGATTTTATTTGAGAGAGAGAATGAGTGGGTGAAGAGCAGAGGGAGAGACAAGCTGACTCCCCGCTGAGCAGGGAGCCCTACATGGGCTAGATCCTAGGACCCTGGGATCATGATCTGAGCCAAAAGCAGGCACTTATTGAGCCACCCACACACCCCAAGAAGCCAGTTTTTGTAGGACCTTGTAAGCCTCTATTAGTCCTGGCTTGTTCTCTAAGACTGG